ATGGATCAGAGGATGTTGCTATCGAAGAGTCTGGATTGAAAGAATATCCATATTGAAGGTTTGTTTAGCCGCTGAAGAGCGCAGATGCCCAGGGGAGAAACCGGCCGACCACGGAGGGAAGATAAGAGACACGAGGATTTAATGTAGCCAAAGGGGAGCGCTCTCCCCCCCACCACCCACCCAGGTATTGTCCCTGTGTTTACAGGGCAGCTGATCCAGTCTGGTGTTCCTCTGGGGTGTGTTTGTGTTTGACAGTCACATTCCAGCTGAGATCAGGCCGGTCCAGCATGGTCAGACCATGCAGTGTTTCCTAGTTGCTCACGCTGACACCAGCAGATGGAGAGTCGGGGTGACTCCAGCGGTTCCTCCATGGACGCCTGCAGCTATGGAGTCCACACAGGAAGGCCTCGTTCAGCGGCTCTTTGAAGTGCGTGCTGATTGTTTGAGCTCCTCTGTATGTTTCTGCCTCTCATTTTAATGTGAATGCACTCTGCTCTATGCAGCTGCATGCACATCAAAGCCTTCAAAGGACTCCACTTAGAGCACATCCTTTTGTTCTGCCAGAGCTGGAGTTAATGTTAGCCCTGCAGGGCACATGGCACCAGCAAGGATGCTGATACCTGCAGCATAACCTCACATAGTTGATTCATTTCTTCTTGGCATAAAGACTTTCTGGTAATTTTTTAAAGTATTGTGTGTTTTCCAGACACAAAGTACCATTTTATGGTACAATCAAGTAACTATTTTACCCTCAGTTGTTATGAAAATGCTGGGTATATTAAATTATACTCTTAAAGAATTTAGACTTTGTAATACAACACCTTGAAATTGGACCTCTGTCTCTTTATAAATTAAGCCTTCAGGAAGTCATCAAAACATGGCTCCTCTATTAGCCCTTTAACAACCTTTTTACCAGTGTTTCACTCAGAAGTAGTTCAAAAAATGAGCTCAGCAGATGTCCAGTTTCACCAGGCGTTTGCTAATTGCTGCTGGCTAGTCTGAAGGAGCTGAGTAGTGGAGGGAAGGGCTGCTCTGAGGCAGAAGCTCTGAAACTGCAGCTCTGAGTTAGCAAACGCCTGGTGGAACTGTTCATCCGCTCACCGGTGAATGAGCTGCTTCCCAGTGAAACGCTGCTAAAAACCTGGTTAAAGTGGATTAATCGGAAGACGAGCAAAGACTTTAGACAGTTTAGAGTCTGAACTGATTTAATATCCACACAGGCTCAGAGAAAAAAAATCACGTCTGAATGTCCAACGTGTCAAACCCGGAAGCAGACGACCACACCGGGCCTCTCTCCATAACGAAACCTCAGGCCCCGCCCTCCTCCACCACAACGCTCCCGTTTATTACCGCCCAGCAGCACTGGGCTCCTTTGTCTCCTCTTTAAACTCGTGTGGTGCCGTTAGCTGTTAGCACTTCTTCTCTGTTATCACCTGGAAGTGTGCACTTCCAGGAGGGTGATCGAGGCTTCAGATGAGAGCAGTCTGAGTGCGTCTCGCCACGCGAGACTCTCTGTCAGGAAGGCGTGAAATGTGCCACCTCTGCCACACCGCCTGCTCCGGCCAGCCGTCCGTCACTCTGCGCTCGCCTTTCTGGGTTTAAATCTGCTGTGACAGTGTTTATTTTGTAGACAGACTGCATTGTTAGTCCACTAAAGGCATTAGTGTAGAAATGAAAGCTGCAAAAATATACAGTTTTTAAATAATCAGCTGTGTGGATTTTGGAGGAGAGGAGAGGCAGCGGCATTGAAACTCTGTGAAGATTCTCTGTTTAATAATGTCCAACGACTACCAGCTGCAGAAACCTTTAATGAAAGCACAGGGCTGAAACTTGACGTTTATTATCTGTCACTAATTGTATTTCCGTTACAAAGGTGCACAAAACATTGTCAATATTCTGCTAATGTCAAAAAAACACATGTTCACAATTTAAATTACATGTTGATAAAGTTTGTTCACACAGTTATTTAAAAACTTTCCGCACCATAATCCTCCAACCACTTCCTGTCATCTTCTTCTTTGTGGTTTTTGCCATTGGTAACATCCGGTTGTGGATCATGTGACTCGTGTGATGCGAACAAAACGTTTCCTTTGTAGTTTTGCTTTGCATATTAAGCCAATTTCGATTTAATCCCCCAAAAAGTAATAAACAGGTACAGTTTAAATAAGACAAAACTACGTAAAAGTCATTTCTTTTTGTCCACTTAATGGAATATCTTGCTAAAAAGTTTATTTATTTTGGATATTTAAAATGGTGTCTCATCTTGCTTTACATTTTTGTGTCTTCTTCATGTGTTTTCAGTCTCATCCCTCTCTGTTGCTCATCATTTATGAGCTAAATTATAAATAAATAACTCCATTACCCATCCTTCCATGTTCTCTACCTAATCTCTGCTTCTCAGCATTCTTTCTCTCCCTCATGTACTTGCCTACTGCAGCTTCTTTTACACAAACACACACACACACCCGCACACACGCACACACACACACACACACATGCCCACGCACACACACACGCACACGCAGATTTAGGACCTCATTATGCAGTAATGTGAAGTATTTCTTTATATTGTGTGGATGCTCTGAAGCTGAACTGTTCAGGTAAAGATAAGGTTCTGTTTCCTCTGGCTAATCACTCTGGAGTCACATTATCTCGGTTCCCGGCAGCGCTGGCGTGTGCTTGCACTTTTGTGAATTCTGATTTTTTTATTTCTGTGGTCAATGGAAGCACAGCTATTAATGTTCTACATTTACTCAGACTACAACCTTAAGCCTCTAAATGTGTTGCTGTCTGTGTGTGTGTGTGGGTGTGTGTGTGTGTGGGTGTGTGTGTGTGTGTGTTTTGTAGTCAGGGTAATGCAATTCAACAGACAGCGAGCTGCACCAGACGTGAGCCAAGAGGAGCATTCACACACCTACAGCGTCACAAGCCTGCCGACCGAGACCGGCTTCAGGTAAACCACATACACACACACACAGACACACACACACACACAGACACACACACCACAAAATCAGGTCATTTAACTGGGGGGGATTTTCATTCAGCAAATTCAGTTTCAACCAAAGTTACTCTAGTTCACTAAATAACAAAACAAAAAACACAAACTGAAATTGGTTGGAGTTTGACAAGAACTGACTGAGGAGTACTTTCTATAGTTGAGACAAGTCAAAACACACTCACACTAGGTCAGGTCATTTTATAAATATAAAGACAACAATTGAAATAACAGAAAATAATGCAAATTGTAGAGTTGAAGGAGAAGAAAGTAGCAGGTTGAGGGAAAAGTGGTCAGTTTGTCCTACAGCCGCTTTAGCCTGCAGCAGCAGAGACTGATCTGTCTCTGATCCAGAGACAGATCAGTGAGGACGAGGTGCTGTGATGGCGGAGGGGTCAAGTACAACCCACATATGGAGGCCTTAGTCCTGTCGCAGATTCGATTCCCGGACTGGTGACCCCTGCCACATGTCTCCCACTTCTCTCATTGCCCACTTTCCTGTCAATTCACTATCAAATAAAAGCCACTTGAGCCAATAAAACTGAATCTCTGCATGTCCTGCGTGTGTCTCAGAGGCTCGTCCGGTCTGGAGGAGGTGGTGGAGAAGCAGGCCGACCTCATAGAGTACCTGAAACGGCACAACACGTTACTGAGCAAGAGGCTGCTCAACCTCACCGCTCAGCACTGAGCTCACCCTGCTGATGAAAACCTCCAGCTCTCAGGAGGAAGAGTGCTCACCGCTCTGAGAGGAGATAAAGTGGAGCAAACACACCTGTTCACACACACTGAGCCGGGCGGCTCCACCGCCAAGGCCTCCGCACCTCAGATGGACTGATAACACTGAAGGAGGAGGAGGAAGATGTAAGGTGAACGGAGGAGATGGAGTCATGGGTCACAGCTCTGAGGTGAGAGAGGTTTTTATCTCACCGACCTCTGACCTCCAGTCTGTTCCTCTGACAGCAGCAGAGCAGTAAGAGCATCTGCACAAACACAGAGAGGTTATCATCTACCTGGGTCAACATGTACTGTTTATTGATCGCATTAATTTTCTTACATGTTTTGTCGTTAATTCTGTGAATCAATAAAGTCTTTAATTTTTCTTACTTCGTTTCATCTTAACGACCTTTAGATCAGCTGCAGCAGCAATAGCAGGACTATTGTGCATCATATGTTCAGTTTAAACTTATGCTAACTTGGAGGTCTTCACTGTCTGCGTCTCCATTGAAACGAGCAATTTGTAATGGACACATGCATACAATACAAATACATATTTTAATTCCATTTTTAAGTGAGAAAATAAACATTTCATTTCCAAAAATAACAGCATTCCTGACTGTACTTTATCATTTGTAACATAGCATGCGCCTGCTAAAAATATTTTTTTAATATGAACATGAGATATTTTTATTTCATTTTGGGTTTTTTTCCAGAATTTGAATTTGGTGAGGCTAAAAATATTCCACTTCAGGAGTTCTGGGTAAAATACTTTTAAATATTTCCTTTTTTATCTGAAATGTCAAATATATTTTATGTTTTGTTTTTTTTTGTTTTTTAGTTTTGGAAAAGAGTTCTTTCAGCAACTGTTTACTCCAGTCAACAATTACTTTTAAAAATTGATTCTTGGCGATTAATCCAACTGATTCAGTCATATTTTAACGCAGATCTCAGGCGGGACAATCTGTCCATTGGTCCACTGTGAACCATGAACTCCACAAATCCAACCGTGACAGGTGGTGGTGGCAGCATCATGCTGAGGGGACGTTCGTCTTCCGCAGTCAGCTTCTCCTCCCAACAGACATAAACTCATAGCCAGAACTGCAATGGAGCGGTGTGTATTGGACCTCAGCAATGCCTGGAGATGGCCTAGTCAAAGTTCAAACTTGATTCCAGTTGAGAATCTGCGGAAAGACTAGAAAACTGATCTTTCCAGATGATCACCATCTAACCTGAGTTGTTTTTTTTCTTGTTGTTGTTGAAAGAAAAATGGCCAAAGTAAAAACGATACAACTGCACATTCTTTTTATTAAACAGGTGGAAAAGTTTCTCAGTCACCAGCTGAAGTGCAACATGGACACACACATTATAAACAGATTTGTTCAGTCTCTTTGGTCTGCAGCGTTTCTGCTAAAAACTGAACATTCTTCGTGATAAATCTTCTCTCTCTCCTGGTTGTAAAATGTGACTCCAGGATGAAGCTCCACGTCTCTGAAGTCACATCTGTGAGCGCTGTGCCGCGCCGCACCGCGCCGCTGTCAGCTTTTATGGTTTACACTCTGTCCTGAATGAACAGTTTTTCATCTTGAGTCTCGAGGAGAGGCTGGCTTTGAAGTTCTCCCTTTGGCGGGGCGTCATGGCTGCTTCTGAGTGGCGTTTCATGGATTCCTCTCCTCCACCTCCTGCGTCCGCCTGTCTTGACTGATCCATCCACGCCGCCGAGGATCACATCCATCCGCACTCCACTGAGGGGTTTCCTTGGCCTGGGATGGAAAAAACACTTTGTTTAATGTGCTGCTCAGACGACTTCAGAGAAAACGAGCAGAAATCGCCTCTCTAGTGTTAAAGCATTCCTCCTCATCATTATCTGGATTTATGCCTCAACCTTTTCCTCCACGCTCCCTTGTTCTGCGTGAACCCACTGCTGCTGATCACAGCCGCCCTGCTAACTGCCTGGTCTGGAACGCAGCTTTGTTCCAGGCACCATGCAGCTTCACTGCAAAAACACAAAATCTTACCAAGTGTTTTTATTCTAGTTTCTTGCTCAACTCTCTTAGCACCTTTGCAATAAGACAAAACTGACTCACAAGTACATTTTCAGCTGAAGTGCATACATTAATATTAAGTCCTAATGTTAATGAAAAGGCATTTGTTCCTTTGGCAGATTATTTCACTTACAACATCAGTGAATCTGACAAAGGCACAGATATTTTCTTCATCAATATTAAGAAAATACTGACTTAAAATGAGGTCGTATTTATTGCTGAAAAGTTAATTGTGAGTCAGTTCTGTCTTAAAATATTTGCACTTTCAACTCGACTAAAATGACTCAGTAAGATGTTGCGTTTTCGCAGTGAAGCAGCTGCTTCACAGAAACACGGCTCACCTCAGGGGAACGGGACTCTGGAGTGAAGAGGGATGCAGCGTCTGTTTGGACAGTGGTGTCTGTGGTATTTTCTCCTCAGGTTCAGAAAGTCTGAAACAGACAAGATAATATTTAAAATACACCAACACATGACATGGACAAGCTGGACCCGTTCGCTGCTAGTTAAGGCTGTTCAGACATTTAATCCTGCAAATAATCCAGAGGCTGCCCAGTTGGGTTCCATAATTTTTGATACCTCATTGTAAATATTATAGATACAATTTTATTTTAGCTCTCCTGCAGTCTTAGCACAACACTCAGCTCTTATGAAATTTTCTTTTAGAAATATAATAACTTTCTATAAACAGCTCCATATGCTACTCTATACGTAGCATAATTGTAAAAGCATTTGCCTCATGCTTCCCAAGTCCTATGGTGTGTTCCATCAGACCGTCAGTTCCCAAAACCACACACTCAAATTTAAAAAACAAAAAACTTGCAAACTCCCATGCCGGGTAAGTTCAACCCCACCTGACCGAGCACAGGTTAAAAAGCTTGTGGGGCTCAATGGACCCCGTCTCTTAATTGAACCCCATTTTGAACTTCTGTTCTCACCATTTTTACTACCTGAGAGTCAGTTTTAGCAAGCATAGCAGTTTTTCCGCCCCATCACAAATATAAGTCTGATTATTTTCTGAGCATATTTTTGTGAAGAATTGGCAGCAACATTGATTCTTTATTTATTTTGAGCTAAAATTCTTGTAAATTATTCTTTTCACCTATTACTTTAGTCTAACAACCTGGAAGTTGAAAACGTGAGTTTTAATTGTAATTATGCTTGCAAAGTTGATTTTACATAAATAGCAAGAACGTTTTTGGCTAATGACATCATTTTATTTTTTATTTTTTTTATGTAATTAACAAAATTCTGCCTCAAAGCTCAACCTGTATGTCCCCACTGTCCGGAAGGAATTTGAACAAAATGCAAGATTTTTTACGAAAACTAAAATTTTCAGAAAAATTTTTGTTTTTTATGAAAAAAAAACTAACTTTTGTTATTTTATTATTTGTAAACAAATAAAATGAAATAGTTTGAAGTGGAACTAAAATGCTACAAGGCGACAAAAAAGCCCTAAATTCAGTAAAATAAGACTTACAAATGTTTCTGCTGCTTGCATCAACACTTCCACGGAACACTTTCTTTCAAAATGTCCAGGGATATTTATCGGTTTCCGGTGGTCAGGTCCTAAATGTAACTACACCATAAACGTGATCCCTCGCGGACACGCGCAGCTGTTTTACTGCGTGGAGTCATTCAGCAGCAGCAGAGCAGCGCGCGAGAGAAAGACACCAAACACGTGATTATTTCTGAACGTCCCCAATAAATCCTCTCTGGCCCCGCGGTTCAGAGGCCGCAGGAGGCCGAGCCCAGGAAGAGGGAGGTCCGCAGCTGGATGACTTTATGACCCCCCGCCTCCTCCAGGAGAAGCGCCTGAAGCCGCGGCTCCACACCTGGCCCTGCTGCACCGTCTACACGGCGCTTTCACACCCTGATTAACAAAAGCCGGAGGGGCCAGACCGCGTCGCTGTGCGATTCGCCGGCGGCCATCTTCCACCCTTCCTCCATCATCATCATCATCATCACTTGAACCCCGACCGCCATATCTCCCCCTGAACTGCGCAGCCGCAGCTGGTGGTCTGCAGGAAACAAGTTCATTATGATATTCATGTTTTATTTTTAGTTTACAGGATCTGAACATATGTGACCGTCTGAGATGGATTAACAGACTCAAAACTGGTCTTCATTTGCGTTTCCTCAAAAAATAAATAAATAAAGATTTAAAGATTTCACTGATCGCAAACTATTTAAATAAATAAGTTACAGAGCAGACAGAATTTAAACTGGTCTGGTTTCTTCCTGCATTAGCCCGTTAGTGTTAGCCGAGTCCATGCTAACTTAAACCTCCCGCTAACAGCCAGAAAATGATTTTTGGCAGAAAAGTAAACGTATTTAGGTATGTTTCATTATCTGTTCAGAAACATTAATATTATTATTATTATTATTAAATTGAACTGGGTATTTTTCACTGGTCTTTAAGCTGAAAACTGCTGTTTCAGTTGCTGGTTTTAACATTTTGTTCAGCTTTTGTTTAATAATGTTTAGCTAAAGGCTAAACAAACTTTATCTATTTATTGGAGGATGTATTAATGACTAAATTCATTTTTCTCAAATCAGTTTTTACATCATTCTCAAATTTGTCATCTCAAAGCTGAATGTAAATCAAGCTGTTTGCTTTTGAGGGTCCAGCAAAGTGACTGAGTAAATATTACAGTGAGCCTGGTAGTTTAGGGTTAGGTTTGAGGGTGGGGTTGTGGGTTAGGTGGGGTCAAGGGTCGCTGTGTAGAGTCTTACCTGGTCTGACTGAAAACACAGGAGCCACAAACGCCGTGAGCAGCACCAACAAGTACAGCAAGTTGAAAACCTTCATGGCTGAGCTGCTGCTTTGAAAATGTTCCAAAAATTTGGAAACTTTCTCTGGTTCTGGTTCTGCTACTGGATGGACTGACGATGCTCCGTCTTCTTGCCCTCCCCCAACTTGTTTCTAGTCCAGCAAACAGAGAGAAGCCATCAACTGCGAGCCGGTCCTTCCTGGAACTTGTCAGCAGCTCCCAGTAGGATCTGTGGGTCCAGCCAGTGTGAGGTTGTCTCAAAGTGACCAAGGTAACATCTCCCCCCTTCTGTTTTATGCAGCCCTTCAGAGGGAGGGGTACACCCTGACAACACCCCCCCTCTCCAGAGCCCCTCCTCTCTCTACTTTTGACTCACACACTCTGAGGGGCTGCACATATTGACCCCACATGTAGAGAGTAATTCCAGTGCCAGGAAGCCCCCCCACTCTCCCACCCGGTTCCCTCAGTCCACACAGGCTGCTGCTGCGTTTTGCATCTTGACTGATTGATTTGTTCAAGGAGAGCGGAAGAGGCAGGCAGAGAGGATTTATCACCGCAGCCGATTCAGACGCTGGAGCTGAGAGTAGCAGGTCTTTCGTGAACCAGATCCCTGCGGTCGTCCCCTGCCCCCGCATTAATGAGGAACCACATCTGGGGTTGGGTGTTGCTCTTTGACCGGAGGGGGGGGTGCTGTTGGCCTTTTGCATCCAACGTTTAGGAGGCCAAACGCCTGAAATTCAGACATCTTTTGCACAAGCCAATTAGCCAACGAAGACTTACTGTCTGTCTCTCTGATGTCTCCAACCGTCTGCTGGCTGGACACTGAATCAGATTCATCTTTGTTGTCACTGTTGCAATAAGGACTTTGGTACTTCTCAATGGCAGCATGATAAATTAAAAAATTTACATGAATACTTACAAAATACAATCGAAAGGTCAGTTATTAGGCGATAGTTCACTCGCTTAAATTTTCTGCCATTTCCAAACAATACAATTCCATATAGCTGCAGTATGTAACTTTTATAAAACAATCACTTTATGACACATTTGTCAAAACTCACTGTCGTGTCAGCTTGGTAGGAAACTGATAATCAGTTAAAATCTTGATCTCTTCGGCCTTCTCCTTTGCTAATTAGAAACAACCAATCACAGCCAGGAGGCGGGTCTTAGCGCTGTCGGTCACTGTCTCTTGTGTGCTGCTCGTTCTCCCTCCCCTGCTTTCTGCTAGTTAATGCAGCTGCTGAAGATGACGGATAGAGATTTTCTGTAATGGTGAGTTGTTTCTCAAACATTTGCACATTGAGTGTGCTTAAATATGTTATCAATAAAATCAATGCCATTTTTATCTGTTTACTACCAAATTATATCAATCAGTCCCTCTAATTTCTTGAGAATTATTGTGGAAATTTATGTAAAAATCAACAAATCCTATCACATATTTGCACTAACAATTGGGAACTTATTGCAGAATTTCCTCAAAAATTGTCAGAATCTTCCTTACTTGTTCTAAACAGCTGCTTCAGCTTTGACTGATGTCAGAATACAATCCATGATCAATGTAGCAAGTAATAAAAAGCCACATTTACTGTCATGATAAGTGCAAGTATTGCAATTATTTCTAAATTAGTATCACAAACACCAAATCCTGGAGGGACTGAAAGAAGATGGTCAATACTATTGTTTCATTTTAATATTTCATTGATATTTTGACAGCACAATCAGCCCTTTAAGAGTATTTGAGTTATATCTTTTAGAATAAATCCTAAACAAAGCATTGCTTTGGGTTGTTCCATTCTAACCCGTTTCGGTCGGCTTTAACTCTGCCATCGGTGTGGGACTCATTACAGTGTCTCTGTGGACTCAGACTCCCCCTTCAGCAGCCAGCTAATGAATTAACACATTAAGATGAAATGTCGGCCATTACATGTGAATGAGGATTAGAAAAGCAGCAGGACACTAATGGACCACATGGCTCATTACAGAGGGAGACTTTGAACAAGCTAGTGGACCATCGACTCTCCTGGATGTCGAAACACTGACTGTTCTGTCTTTAGATAGTTCTTCCTGCTTCTAAAGACTGATGTCCTCTGCATAGTGTCCCCTTTTATGGCTTTATGATGTTTGCAAAAATGCATCTTGGACCGTCTTGGTTTGGGTCAGACAAACACCCATGTACACACACACACACACACACACACACACACACACACACACACACACACACACACACACACACACACACACACACACACACACACACACACACACACACACACACACACACTCATCCTGCTGCAAACACTTGGCTCAGGTATGGAGCTAGTTTCTTTGGCCAGCTCTGTTTGCATATCAGTTGCCATTGTCTTTTAAAGAACTTTTATTTTCCTCCCAACCTGAATATGCTAATTCGGGCCTCAATTGTCATTCAGAGCCACCCGGTATTCGCTGTCTCTCTGCCAGAGCTCCTCTTCACCGAGTCCTGCTCAGCTAGCTCCTGCCCGTCTGCGCTTCAAAACAGAAACAAGACAATCGTATCAAATTCCCCCACCAGGTTTTCTGTGTGAGCGATTAAAGCAGGTTGTAATATTTGCTCTTCCTGGGGATTATACGTCTTTACGAGGATTAGCCAAACACCCCACGAGAGGGAGGGTAACCTTTCATTAAACTCTGCCGGGAGTTTGGTACGACTACCATCATTTCTAGCGAGACCGGAAGTGATCTGTTAGGTCACTAAGGTTGTTTTCTAGACTTTTGATGAACCCAGAAAGGGGAAATATTCAAACCTGTCCAGAAATGACCTCAGCTAAACAGTGAGAGCCTGAAATTAAATAACAGGAACTCATAAAAACAAATCCCAAAAGATAGCTAAAGAAAATTACTTTCTAAACACTCTAAGTGCTAAAAAAAATGTCTGTCTATACCAATTTAATTAAAAAGTTCAAAGTTGAAAGAATCAACTCTAGACCCCTATGAAGCTCAAATTTCAGCATTTCAGCAATAACTGAAAGATGAATAAAAAGCTTTTGATAATTTCATGTTTTATGGTTTCATACACACTAACTACTGGCTTGATCCTCTAATCAGAACTTTTTTTCATGTTTATTTAACCACAGGTGGTTCAGAAAGACATCGTTTTGCATGTAAGATACTGACTCCTGATGGTTATTCTACAGAACACTTTAAAAAGAACTCAGAAAACTCAGTTGAGGTGTTATAAAAATGCTACAGTTTTCAATCTGGTCAAAGTTCCTCAAAATTAGATCGGTCAAAGTTTGAGGAACCTTGATCAGTGTAAGATTGATCAGTTCTACAGTTTGTTGACCTGCATCAATTTCCTTATTTCTAACACAAATCAGCACAGATAGCTAAACAAAAAAGTGGAACATCAACACTTGGTTATTGAGAAGGAAATTGTAAAGACATTTCTCAGAAATAACTTAAATATTCTTTCTGGCTCTCAGATTTAATCTGTCTGAAATGTTTGAATTTCCTCATTTTCTTCTTCTTCAGCAGTCTTAGCAGCACTTAAAAGAGGATGTAACACAGGAAGGAGTTTTGCGTGCTGCAGCTCCGCTTGGTGTGAACATTGCAGCAGCTCTGGCCTCCGTAGAAGCTGTGATCTTTACGACTGCATTGAAACTTCACTTCATGCTTCCTCTGCCGTCGTCCTGAACAGGATCCTCTGATCAGGATCTTTCTCTCCGGTAAAACGGGTTTCGAAGAGCAGTAACTCCATCAGACATCACAATACATTTATACAGAGCTTTGCAAAATAATGTTTACACCTCTTGAATTTTTCTTTACACTTTGTCACATCATCCGCAGACTTTAAAGAGCCAATATCATTTGTTTTGCAGGCATTTTATTGTGTAATTGAGTAACTATGTTACCTCCAAAATACTCTGTATATCAAATATAACTTAAATGAAATTTGACTTGATAATTTAATGCCTCTGTCTCTTTAAAATCTCCTGCTCTTTCTCCGCCTTGAGGAAATCATCACAGCATCTCTCTGGTATTAACCCTTTAACAACGTAACAAGAAGAAGCTCCTATTATGAGCTCATTATACATATTTCCAGCAGGTGTTTGCTAATTACTAATGGCTAGTCTAAAGGAGCTGAGTGGGGGAGCAAAGGGAGTAGAAAGCTTGGAAATCTGCAGCTATATGGATCTCGTAGGCGGGGCTAGGTCCACCCAGGCATTTTGCACATCTGAATGGTTGCCATGGGAAATTAAAGGATTTCTCAAACAGGGATGAAATGATCAAAGCAACACTCCAGGTACGTTTTGATGAGGGAACATCATTATAACATGATAAAATCCTGAAAAAAAATCTATTTTACATAACATTGACCCTTTTAAAACTCCGTTATTAAACAGGACGCTTGCTTCATAGAGATGACACAGGATCACAAATTATAATATTTCTTCATGGCTGCTGTCACACAGAGAATGACCACACAGCCCAGAGCAGTGGCTCTGCTGGTGTAATCTCTGTGTGAGATGAAATGTGCCATGATGTCTGAATGCTTCGGGAGTCGTCCCTCGTTGAGCTGCTATTAGAGTGATAGCAGCTCCTGTTGTCATGCCACAAGCTTGTCAGCGTTAATGAGGCTCTGCAGTCAGTCGCAGCTTAATTACTCTTAAAACTCTTTATCTCTAATTGCCCAGTGCAATGAACCTTCATAAGCACAGGTCACACCACAGCCAGCTCCCAATACGCAGAAACCAGTTGGACCATTAGGTAGTTTGGACTGAAGTGGAGATTCTTCTCCCTGCAGTTTCTAAACAACAGGATGACCTTTCATCTGATTACGTCCGTCTCTGTGGCAGAGCCTCTACTCTTGACGGCTGGAGTGACGGAAAGCTCACAGGTCAAAGGGCAAACTGGACAGCGAGCAGCCACCCCACACGGACTCACTTATTTAGTTGAACTTCTTAAGATATACTAAGTCTGTTTCTGGACCTTATTAGCCGTTCACATGGACATGTTCACCTTCCACCCAAGAAAACCTTTACCCCGTCTACCAACCACCCACAGTCCTGATCAGAGGAGCTAGCAGTTTATGAACAATAGAAACATAAACCTAATGAACAAAAGGTTTTATTGTTCTGGAGTTAGGACAGCTGGCAGGGGGTTAGAGTCAAAAAACAGTAAAAGATCTTTCCATCATCTAAAGTAGATCAATATTCTCACAGAATCACTTTGTTGAGATGAAAATTTTGATGTTTGGCAGTATTTATATATTGACCTGTTTTTGTGATTGAATGTTGGTAATAAAATACACAAATATCAACTTTAAGTCTGGTTCTTTGGAAATTTTTATGCTCACACAACACACACATCTTAACTTAGGAGTTTGAGATCACAGCTAAGTGGGAAACAAGTGAAAATCAGAAAGGCACTGAACAGAAACCGAGTCATGAACCATCTGAAGTTTAAAGAGAACCTCTAAAACTCTCCAGAAAGTCTGGAAGACTGTTGATCGAAACCAAAACATTTCAAGAAGGCCAGACTGGCTGGAAGGAAAATAAAACCAAATTAAGAATGACACAAGACTTTCTGTTCAAATGACCACATAAGGTACTGCTGGCATGCCGTATTGGATTGTCAAGATTAATTAATAACATGGAAATCTAAAAAAGAAAAGGGGCAGTATAATGTGTTTTTCAGGCACTTGGTGTCATTTTATCACACAATCAAGTGACTGTTAACTTCAGTTGTTTTAAAAATGTTATATCAAATATTAATTAAAACAATTGACTTCATTTATTAAAGAAGTCAATTTGTTATCAAACAAATTAAGAAAAACTTAAAGAGTTTCTCTTAAGAAACTTCTGCTCTTCTGAGGAAACTTCTCCTTCGTCTGCACTCCTTATCGGTTGGCGGCGGTAAGGAGGTTTTTGACAAACCGCAAATGAATCTAAAGAAGAAGAAAATAGGGACGACGAAGAAGAAACTCCTTTCAGGAAGTCATTGCTCCTCTATTAACCCATTTGCACAAATGCGTATGTAACCCATATTGTCTGAAATACATAAAAAATAAATAAAGAAAGAAACCGTCAAATGTCACACGAAATGTCTTCTCGGATGATTGTGATGTCATCTGCATGTTTAGCAGATTACGTCACAGATTAGATTACTGTTCACATTCATTGCCACAAAGAACTTTACGTTTCATTAGGCGTTCGGTTTGATATCTTTCCCATTAATTAATTGATTCAGTTCAGCTATTTGTGATATTTTCTTGTGGCGTTGCTATCGCGACCGCGGAGCTCCGCTGTGAAAAGGTTTGTTTTCAGATTTCAATAATAAAGGATGAATTTAATCATATTTACATTGACATTCTGAACACTGATTCATTTGAAAAGATGTGCTCTTCTATTCGGCTATGTTGCTTAATTGATTTTGGGCTTCAGTTTTTATTTTTGATCTCATTTTATGATAAATATGCTAACCGGAAGTATCATGTTTTTGACCGTAACTGCGCAGTTAAATTTATGAGTTTTTCTAATTTTTGAATTGCATAGCAGCTGCTTGGAAAATGTGTTTTTTGGGGGTTTTCTTAATTGCGTAGCAAGTACTCTGAAGATTTATTTTAAAAGTTGTACATTTTCTTTGACGAATGCTTTGAACGGCTATTCACTCCATTGCTGTTAAATCGAGTTTGACATAATTTTGGGTGTAGTTTTGCCTTTTCAAAATGAATATATTAACATTTTTTCCTCATCTGCTCTTTTTATTGGTTGTTATTCATTTTAACGTCACACATTAGATTACTGTTCACATTCATTGCCACAAAGAACTTTACGTTTCTTTGTGGCACAGAAGAACAGAACAACTGTTCTTCTGTGTTGCGGCCATTTGTGTTCCTTTGGCCTTTCATTGTCCATTGGGCCGCTAGTCTGAAGGAGCTCAGTGGGTGAGGCAGAAACTTGGAAACTGCATCTCCCAAGAGGCGTTGCTAGGTCCACTCAGACGTTTTGCCCAGCTCAGTGGTTGCCACTGGAGATTAAAGGATTTCTCTTGAAGAATCAAGGCAACACTCCAGGTATGCTTTTGGTTAGAAAATAACATGATGTAAATCTCAAAAAAGTTAATTTTACATAACACTGCCCCTTTAATGAGGGGAGTTTATAGTTCATTGGGCAAAGACAAATTGCTAACTTTAACATGAAGCGCAGAGAAGCAGGAAGTTCTGGTCGCCAGCCCCAGTTCAGCTCCAGCTGGTCCCAGCTTTAAGCCCTCTGTCCAGCCTGCTTGGTGATCTCTCTCTGCTTCTTCTTCACTAGCTGTTTTAATTTCTCGTTTTCATATGCAGCATCTTCTGAAAGAGGACAGTCATAACTTGCATTAGACAGGTTTACGTTTGTTGTGGCGGTTTTTGTCGATGTTTACCTGTTGGGTCTTCCTCTTTCTGGATGCAGACCGAAGCCAGACTGAACAGGGAGAAGATGACGAAGGCTAAGATGATGAAGGTGAGCTCAAAGCCAGAGAATGGCGCTTCCATCTACACAGCTGCCTAAACAGAGGAGGAGGTGAAACTCAATCACAGCCCACAATAAGATACAGAATTAATAATAATAATAACAATAATAATAATTATAATAATCACAGAATGTCTCTGTGTCGCTCAGAGAACCAGTAAGATTTTACTGCTTTCAAGGGGGCGGTATTATGTATTCATCAGACACATGGTGCTTTTTTTTAGCACAGTGAAGTAACTGTTACAAGGAAATTGAATTCATAAATGAATGCTTGTGCATTGGGTCTCAGCCTTTTTAAAAACTCCTGCTCTTTCTAAAACTCTGTTTTCAGGAAGTTATCACAACATGGATCCACTACTAACTATTTAACAATGTTTTTAGCAGCTTTGTACTGAGATGTAGCTCCTGCAATGACCTCAGCAGATGTGCAGCTCCACCAGGTTTTTGCTACTTGCTGCTGGCTAGTCTGAAGGAGCTGACTGAGTCTCGGGAGGGAGGGAGTCTGTGAAACGGAAGCTTGGAAACCGCAGCTATGAGGAGGAGCTGCGTCTGGATGGTGGATCTAAGTCCAAGTTTTGAGTGGTTGCCATGGGAAATTAAAGGATTTCTCAAACATGAATGGAAGAACCAGGATAACAATCCAGGTATGTTTTTGATGTGGGAATAATAAAATAACATGATTTAATGTTCAAAAAAGTCGATTTTATAGAATGCCCCTTTAAATCAGATTGAGTTATTTTATCTGGACTCTAATAAAGTTCCAGCTGTGCTGATGATATGATAGAAGCTGAAACAAAGTGATGGTTTTTATCATGTATTGACCTTTGAACTGCCGTGTTGCTAAAATGTTCTGTACAAAAACAAAAAAACGACTTGAAAATCACATATTGTAATAAAGCAGATATTTTAAAAACATTTTTACAAAGATACTTTTCGCATTAATTTGTATAAACAGTATGAACTATGAGAAAATGAAGTTTTGGTTAAACATTTGGCAATTACTGTACATGACATGGTGCTTTTTCAAACTGCACTACTCACTTTTCTCCACCAGAGGGCCTGAAAGAATCCTCTGCAGTTCATCGAGGTCTAACTTCAGAAACACTGTATTGTGTACAGACAGAAATAATCTTTCCTGGATTGAAAAGCAGGATTTTAAAACCTCACAAAACCTCATTGTAGTAAAGTTAGACAAAGTTCAGAAACAGAATAATGTTGTGGCGTAAGAGTCGAGCCAGAACTGAGGGAACAATCTGCTTTAATGAAAGAAAAACACATTTCTTAGCAGCCTAAACTTCCAGTTTAACGCCTCAGCTTCCCAGTCGTTAGTGAAACGGGTTTAATGTTGACCAAGTGACACTCTTCAAACATTAAATGAAAAGCCAAAGTCAACTTCAAGCAAAAGGAGGTCACTGGAACTGTACCTGTTGCATAAATATTTGATCCCTGAACTCATTCAAACTGTTAGGTATCATTAGGTTAAAGCATGTTTGCAAACAGGTTCTGCTCTTTAATATCCAACGTGAACGAGTCACACCTCCACAACAAACAGGTCTGACCAGCATACCTTTTTGCTTCAAACACAAATTTGTTTTATAACCTCCGTAAGCCGAGGATATATCCACTTTTTTCACAAATAAATAAGAATTGTTAGTTTGTTGTTGGACTTACCAATGGGAGAGACACACAGTCTGTTTTCCAGGTTCAAAGTTCACAGAGGAATCTCCCGGTGCTGCCTGTGGACATCCTACAGGGCGAGCGGCCAGGCACTGCTGTCGTGAGCCACTTTGTTGGAGCAGGTGTCTCTATATTGTTTTCTTTTTAAGTTGAACAATTTGGCCACTCCTTTGTGCCTCATCCTGGAAGCAGATTACACTGGGACTGCAAACATAGCACACACACACACACACACACACACACACACACACACACACACACACACACACACACACACACACACACACACACACACACACGTGTTCAGAGGTCGGCCTCCAGGCCCGCTTTTATGAACTGATAAGGATTCACGGCCACACACCAGGAACAGGCTGAGTTTTTCTCACAAGCTGAGCATTAGCAGCTGAGTCACACCGACGTCTCCTGGCTCTGGGTTCTATCAGTCGTTTCTGCAAAAATAAGAAGAAAAAAAAAGAAGGCCTTTTTGATCTTGTTTGCTCTCCTTTGAAAGTAAAAAAAAAATCTTATTAAAAATCAAAAATGTAAACAATAAAAAACAGCATATTTTATGTCGCAGTAAATTGAAGGATTTTAACATAGGAATTAATGTATACCCATTTTAAAATAGTTTGACTTAATTTTATTTTGCATCTGGGTTTCAAACAGTGTGAGGAAATATTCATATTCACAGTTCTATTGTTTGTGAGTGCAGTCGAACAATTAATGCTGTAATCGTTTCCTGTCATTTAAATGAGACATGAACAGAAAAAAAAAATTTATTGCCCTCACAGCAATGAAACATTTATTGCAGTGAAAAACGCCAATACATTTGCATTTTTTCACTGTAATAACTAAATAAATGCACATTTATTGGGCACCGGCGGCAGCACCGGTGCCAGCAGGTGTGTTAAGTTTTCCAGGTGTATTCAGCTCAGTTGTTCTCTGCAGCAGCAGGATTTAGACGCAGTGTTAAACTTTTCACTACGACGGCATATTAGGCCATTGTAGGCAATGGCAGAAAGAAATTTATGCCAAAAACCTCAACAATTTTCTAGAAAAAATACTTGGAAAAAAAAATATAAAATAAAAACATTTTTATATATATATATATATATATATATATATATATATATATATATATATATATATATATTATATATATATATATATATATATATATATATATATATATATATATTTAAATAACATGGAAATTATGACACAATTAAAAATGTTTTCTTTTCAATATTGCTGCTGCACAGTGCTTTATTTTTTGAAACTTGCTTATCCATTTTCTCTCTCTCTCTCTCTATATATATATATATATATATATATATATATATATATAAACTAAATTTTTGGTTGAATTTAGATTAAATGGGAAAAAAAAAAAAAAACCCACACATACTCAACACGTGTGTTTCCCGGCAGACTCACCTTCAGCGTGCGGACATTCCTCGCTGATCATCCCAGTGAGTGTGAAGAGCGCAAAAACCAGGATGGAGAACATGATGGTCCACACCTCGAGTTGGGTGAACAGGGAGGCCATGGAGCCGGAGTCGCCTCCGCCCCGGCTGTGTGTTCACAGTATCGATGCTGAAATCAGCAGCGCCGCTCGAAGGTGAGGTCCCACCATCACATTAATCAGAGTTAAACACTTACCTGCTGTGTCACATGGAAGAATCAGCCGATCACAAAGCAGCTGCGCTCTCTGCCGTCGTTCCTTTCTCTCTGATGCTTCTGCAAAGTTCTGTGAAGCGCTGACTGACATTCAAAAGGTGTCAAGTTTTAGTGGCATCGTATTAACTCGAATTATTTATGGGGACCTGTGACTCACTGTGACGACGTGTTAAAACGGACGATTGAACTCAAAGCTGAGTTCTCACTGAGTGCTGGTAGTTTTGAGGATCCTGCAGCAAAAGTGAAGGTCGTTTGTTTTGTTTTTTTCTTTTGTTCTTTTAAAGTTTAAGGTTCTGATATCTGGCCTGTCGCTCTGGAAGCTGCTGCTGATGTGCTGAGAGGATTTGCACCAAAATGCGTGTGTGCGATCGGTCACCACGGGTTTTGACAAGTTTGCCTTTTTTAGAGCATTAAACCACAGTGAGTCCACACAGACTTCTCTTTTTGTCTTCCTGGGGTTTTGTAAATTTGCGTCTCTCTGCAGATCAACATGTCTGTATGCACGCGCCGTAGGAGTCTGAGGGCTTTTAACCCGGAGATCACTCAGCCAGAAAAAAGGTTGCAAATCTGAAGAGTCACTAAGGTTTAGAATACACACGCACAGAAAACAAGTTAAAATAATAAAAATAGCACTTTAGTATCACCAGCCTCTCACAAAGACCATTTGTTTCTATTTCTTTAGTATAAAAAAAAAGCCAAAAGTTAAAACAAAATAGCCAAAAGATGGGAAAGTAAAGTTTTGGCACAAATGAGGTTATTCCAGAAAAACTTTGCTTTTCATTACTTCATATGTCTTAAAGTCATGAGTTTCAGATGCTATGTGATGATTATTATGATTATCTTGTATTTTCAAAAACTCATCATAATACTTTTGAAAGAAAAGAAAAGGAACTGAGAAATAAAACTGAAAAAAAAACTCTTTAAGACTTGCTTTAGAAGAAGAGTACTCATAATGAAGACCTCTTTAAGATGTAATAAAGTCTGACTCAATGGAGGTGAAATGGTTTAGTTCAGGAAATCAGACACACAAAGTGGTTTTTACTCTGAATTTGTAGCAAGCGAATGAAAAGTGATTAAGTTGATCAAGGTGAAACAGAAATGTCTTAAAGGGACAATATTACATTTTTTACAGGCACATAGTGCTATTTTATAGCACAATTACATAACTGTTAAGTTATGAAAAAGGCTACATATATAAAGTATGACGTTAAAAATTTTGACTTCATAATTCAAAACCTTAAAATTGATACTCTGTTTCTTTAAAGTTTTTCTGAAACTGCCTTCAGGAAGTCATCACAACGTCACTCCTCCATTAGTCCTATAGCAACATTTCACCAGCGTCCCACTGAGAAGTAGCTCCTATAACGAGCTCAGCAGATGCAAAGTTACAGCAGGTGTTTGCTAATTGCTGTTGACTAGTCTGAAGGGGCTGAGTGGGAGGACTGCTCTGTGATGGGGAAGTTTGGAACCTGCAGCTCTGAAGAGGAGCTTTTTGCTCGTAGGCAGAGCAAGGTCCACCCAGGCATTTTGCACAGCCCAACAGTTCCCGTGGAGGTTAAAGGATTTGTCAAGCATGCATGAAGCAATCAAACCAACGCTCCAGATATGTTTTTGTTTTGATCATTATAATATGATGTAAAGCTCAGTCAGTTTTACACGATGCTTGCTCTTTCAATCAATTCAATTTCAGTTCACTGTCAGACATTAGAGCAGCTTCAGGTCAAAAACGTAACAGTTCTCACCATAAAAAAACATCAATTTTACCAGCGGGTAAAAATAATAAAAGTGATTTGCTCGTCACCAGTTGTTCTGGACCTTTTCCTCGATATCCATTTTGGACGTTTGGACATGAAGTTTGAGAACCCCGGGTTCACTACAGAACCAGAAATATTAGTAAAAGTCAAACTGTGAAAATGTTTGTTTATTTTGGGACAGTGAATGCCTCCCAACCCCTGGACCACTGTTGTGTCAGCCACACCTTTAACTCACAATCCTTACGACCTGAGACAGTCGCAAAACAGGATCCACCCTTCATCACGCTTCATCATCCTCACACACTTCAGCAGCACTCTGTGATTGGGTTCATTTTTCGCTTTGTGTCCAGTTGGATGTTCCTGTATTCCTCCCTCTAACCTGGAGGAGGAGGGAGGTCTTTAATATCTGTCAGCATATTGCTGCTCTGCAGGGAGTCTGAGCAGTGTGTGTGCGCGTGTGTGTGTGAGTGAGACTGCTGTCCATGTGAACAAGTTGTGTAAGCTTATTAGCTCCACCGCTGGTCAGAGGAGAAGATTGGGGTTAGTCTAAGCCTTAATCCTCGTGAACCTTATGCCTGTTATACAGGAAGCACGGCAGAGTCCTTAGCCCCGCCTCCTCCTCCTCACGGCCACAGACTGCTCACAGACGCGCGCATCACAACAACACACGCTCTCCCTGCTGTCTTGTTTACCACTTTACTGGGAGTGGAGGGGGTTGTGGAGGAAGGGGAGCGAACGGCGCGCACTGTTGAGTAGTTCCCCAGTCGCCATGACGACCTCACACCCCACCATCCTCAGAACTGTCTCCGTGTTGCCTCGGTGACCTGATCCCGTTTTGTCTCCATCCCTCCGATGATCCGGATTGGGTCGATAAGGGAGCGCAATCCGGCAGCCGGCGTCTGGTTTTCTCCAAACAGCAGCCTCCGGTCCAGGAGCAGGGAGGCGATCCGTGATGGGAATGCTGGGAACGCTGTGGGAGTAGCACCGGAGCGTTGCCTGGAAACAGCAGCATGCCAGTACAGCAGATAACTGTGGTCCCGGCAAGAGAGACGGCCGGCAACGGAAAGAGCGCCCCCCGCTCCAAAGAAAAGAACGAGGTGAGAACCTGACCCGCACCAACACCAGCAGAACTCACAGGAACAGTTCAAGTCCACTCACATTTCAGTCATCTGGATTTCCTGGTGGCAGGAATCTAAAACGCATTCTGTATTTTTTTTTAAATTATTATTATTTATCTTTGGTATCAGATGTGTACTTCTGACTCTCCTGGTTGTGTGATGGAGATGCATGGAAACCTTTGCAGACTTAAGGCACAACTCGAAACAAAGTAGTCCCAGAGTGTCAAAGAACTCTGATGAAGAAAACCTCATGTCATTAAAAATGCTTGAAGCCACAAAGTGATTTTGTGTGGCAGAACAGAGGAAACCTGAGGTCACAAAGTTCCCGGAACGTTTGTGTTCTAAATACTGTGCTGATGGCGTCTCTGATACACACTGTGATGTGGTTAATTAGTATCTATATCAGAGTTCAGGAAGCTTTGATGCTTTGATATCAGATGTCACAGCGTAGAAAGAAGTAAGCTCTGTCTGACCATTACATAGCAAAACTGCTAAAGAATATTTAGGGCTTTCATAACTGCTGATTCAAATCCCAACCTACTTCTGTGTACTTTTGTGTTCAAGCAGGACAAATAGTCAGAGATTAACATGTATTTTTAAACGGGCTAAGACAATTCTCAGACAACAATAGACTAAAAATAACTTCTTGTCCTGGTTCCCAGTTTTTAGCTCTCGCTTTCCCTCCAAACGCAGGCAGCTGATCCTATTGCTTGCCAATTTAGAGTTAGGAAAAGTGGACCAATGATGTCACAAGCTGATGTCTTGCTTCGGTTTGTCTGTTTTGCTTAAGCTGCTACCGTATTGCTTCCTGTATTTTAGCGAAAATACATTTTACTAGAAAATAAAAGATGAAACATATTCTACAAAAACACGAAATCCTGTTACATCTGCAGTCAGTAAACTTAAACTCCCTTCAATTACAGCAACTTCAAGCACTGAGCACACTGAGGCAAATGAGAGAGTTGGCATAGCTCAGCATGAGCTAAAGTCGTGTGATTATTGGATCACTGCTCACACATCTGAGTAATATTTAGGTGATTTATGATTTTTAGAAGAAGAAGCTGAAGGTAATAGAAAGTAGTAAAAAATACTAACTCCCCATGGCCACTGTCTCCTTTAACTGTGATATTTCTTACGAATCAAAATATTTAGCTTATTATTCATATCCATTTTTATCTCATTTATGCTATATCATTTAAAGGGACGGCATTATGTAAAATCTACTATTTTGAGCTTTACACCATGTTATTTCTTCATCAAAAACATACCTGGAGTGTTGCCTTGATACTTTCATGCATGTTTGAAAAATCTTTTAAAACACTTAGAGGAACCTGGTGACACCTTGGAGATAAAATTTCTCCTATGAGCTGCGGTTTCAAGCTTCTGCCTCACAGAACAGTGCTCCCCTGGAGCCCCTGTACTCAGCTCCTTCAGACTAGACAGCAGTTAGTAGCAAACATATTCTTGGTTTTTTACGTCTCAGACGTCTCAGAGCTACGTCTCAGAGCAACACTGGTAAAAACGTTAAAGGGCTAAAAGAGGAGCCATGTTGCAATGTCTTCCTGATGGTGTTGTTTCAGGAAGAGCGGGAGTTTTTTAAAGAGACAGAAGCCCAATTTCAAGGCACTAAATTTTAAGGTAAAATGTCTTTTAAATCATATATATAAACAGATTTTATATATAAATATAAAAATAGATAATTTTTATAACAAATAAAGGTAGCTTACTCTGCTATGAAACAATATATATAAATCTCATTTTCCATTGATTGTAAATAATTACAGTCAACCAGCCTAGATGTATCACATACACAGACTTCGGTTTCACAAATATAAAAATAATATCATCATTCTCTACATGCCAGTCTGAAACAGGCTTCCTGCTTCTGAACGTAAATCTGCGAAACATTAAAAGACCAGCTAATATTAACAGTTTGGACAGTATGGAATCTGCCTTTTTCATTTTTTTCAATTGCCTTACGTAAAATGATGTTTATTTGTATCGTGAATCAAGAATTGTGCATATTTTGCTTAATTACATATTCTGATTGCCTTGTCAGAATCTATAAACTTTCCATGTAAATTAGAAGTGTTAAATGTCTGACCCATGCTTGTCCTGATTTTAATGTTGCTAGTGTTTTCATTTTTCAGCTTATGCGCTATTATTTGTGCAAATACTATCTCCAGTTGCCATGGTACAACCCTTCAAGCCACTGTTATTTATATTTAATTTTTATATATTACATTACATATTACATTTTAGGACTTATGGTTCTTTCTACTAAAACCTGCAGTAGGTAACTTTTATTTTAAAAATGGGTTCTTTTGTTGCATATTTGTTAAATTATTATTTCATGGCATTTGTGAAAACCTATTAAATCTTCTCTGCTTTCTCCTGGTGCTCCCAGTACTAACAGGAGAAGTACGCCATTCTGTCAGAAACAACCAATCAGAGTAAGGAGGAGGGTCTTAGCGCTGTCAATCACTCTTGTGCTCACCCCCTCCCACTAGCCTTGTCGTAAGCTACAGCTGGTTCACAACATAGCCTGCCATCAATGTTAAGGCTAGTTAGCATGGCTACCGATGACAGTTGATTAACAGTGGCGAGTTGTTTCTCCACCATTAGCACACTGAGCAGCGTACAAGAGGATGATTGACAGCACTACGACCCATTCCCCAGCTCTGCTTGGTTGTTTTTGACTGGGAGTGATCAGTTTCTGCTTACTGGTTTTTGTTGATTCTTTTTTGTTTTTTTTATTTCCAATTATCTGATATATCATTCTGTCACGACATTGTGACAGTTTTGATGAACATAGAAAAAACCTGGTTTTGTAAAAGTTACAAACTGCAACTTTAAACTATAAATTTCTGCATTTGTTAAACAGGCAGCAGATTGTAGCTCTACTGCTGAGGATTCTTCTTTTTCCAAACATTTATCATTCCTTAAAGCTAAAGCTAATTCAAACATATGCTGCACAAATACAAACGAGGCTTCCCGGGTGCCCATCTAAATGCGGCTGGAGGTGGAACCAGAATTTATCCATCGGTCCACGCCACAGCACCTAATCCCCCTCAGCGATAACCAGCACATGTCCACACACAGACTGTGTAAAGTCCTCTCTGTGCCTCACACTCAGGTGTTCAGAGGAGCAGAGACTCGGGTAAGAGGAGCACATTTACTCCAAAATTATTATTCTTCCGCAGTTCTGTTTTTCAATGGGTTTTTCACACAAGATGAGGTGGTGAGGTTTTTTGTTTTGTTTTTTTAACATGATTTTCTGACATTCTCTTTTTTTTTCTTGAATTGTTCTGCAGTGGTCGCCTGCTGGTGTTTACTTTCGTTGTGCATCTGTAGTGCTGGAAGCTTTGAGTACTGTAGGTGTGTGTTGACTGCAGAGGCAACCAGAAATGTGTAGAGTAAGGTAGGCCTGTCGCAATATTCAATTACTCAATCAGTCGCATTATATGTTTATTTCTATTTACATGATCTGTCGTTTTTCTCTTTTTCTACTAAAAAGTGATTGACAAAAGTTATCAGTTTGAGGTTTTGGTTTCAACAAGCTCTTATTTATTTTATTTTTTATTTTTGAAAGGACAGTTTTGTTTACATAATTCATTTTATTTGTTGTGTCTGTTGTTTTTCTTATTTTGGACATTTAAAATGTCTTCCAGTTCCAGTAATGATTGTTCATTAGAATTGAAAGTTTATTGATCTTTGAGAGCGTGTTCTGCAGTTATTATCCCCATTACCATTATATTATTTGAAAATGGTCTCAAAACAACAATATGATTTTTATCACAATAACTTCTGGTGACAGGCTAAGAGTAAGACAGCAGAAGGGTTTTAAATAGAAATATTGATATTTATCTTAATGCTACTCTTGGATTATGTTTTATTTTGAAGAAAGGTAATTACCAAGAAACTTTGGGGACTTAGAGAAATTGGGGGTAAAAAAAATCACACCCTCCAATCTTTAAAGCCAGGTGGTTTTATTTGTATTGCACATCTTCAGCACACACTTCAAATAGCTTTACATAATAAAAACATCATACAGTCATCAATTATGAAACTAGCAACACATATTACATTTTGTCAAATGCTGTCATCAAGCAAATAATGTTGACCAATGTTCCACTCACTAACCGTCTTACTAAAGGTAATTGAAAGTGCTTTACATAATGGGAAGGACATAAAAACAGCAAAACCAGCAGAAAAATGTGACATTACAGGGAATTTAAGAGAAAATGCTGACAGGCCAGGTGAAAATAATTCTGCTTCATGTTTCTGACAGTCATGTCTCTGATCTGCCAGAGTTACAACTTAACTGCTTTTTATTTAAATACCTTTTGAATTGATTTCTTTATCTTAAACACAAGTGGAAAAAATAACACTCACTGAATTTGGTCATTTTTTCATCAATATTACACAATATTCTAACATTTTGATGTGCTTTTCATGGAGTAACAAAAGTTTCCCAAGACATTAACCAGTTATTCGTTTGTGCTTTTCCACTCAGGCAACCAGCAACTGCAGCTCATTTCTTAAAATGCATTACTTTTTCTTTTCTGCAGAGAATCGCACTCTGATATACAATCTGTTTTTGGAGGCGGCTATAGCAGATGGAAATGGTTTCCAAACAGCTGAGGTTGGATTTCTGATGAGGAAAGATGTGCATTTTCCTTCTTTGAGCCAGCTAATAGACTATCCTAGCAACAGATGGGGGAGGGGCAATGGCCATATGCCATCTGGAGATCCTTCAGTTTCTGCGGTGCGTTCATAACTGTAAAATGTTGATATCACAACCATGAGGTATGAGCTAAAACTGTGAGACCCCTCAGTTATTATGTCACTGAGAAGATGAGAGCTTTAGTGTGTGGGTGTGTGTTTTGTTTTGTTTGTTTTTTCAGTTTTATAAATTATGTGTGTGCAGTTAGGTCCGTGTGACTTTCTCAAAACTGTCACATTTCGCTTAGATTTATTGGTTCCTGCTTCCTATTGGGTCAAACCACCCACTGGGATTCACTACTCTCAGTAAATGAACAACAGTTCTAAAATGATAATAATAATAATAATAACAATCATAATAATAATAATGATGATAATTAATGGGCCATTTCACAACTTATCTGGCATCTAAACAATTTTAAATCAAGCTGGTTCTTGTTTAGATGTCAGTAAAAACCTTTCGTGTTATTTATTTATTCTTTTTTTTTTTTTTTTACAAAAAGTATGATCTCAAACTCTGTTTAAATAAAAAATCTGTATGTAGTGCAGAATAATTGTCCTATTAGGTGCAGATTATGAAACAAAACCCCATGAAGCAGATCTTTATCATAGAACTCAGTGGCCACTCTGGTCCCATGCTGTTGCAAAACTTTCTAGTTTTCTTGTGCATGATCATTTTGACTGAGTGAGCATCTTAATACTTTTGTGTCAAAATTTTTTTTTAACACAGCAGCGTTTCAAAAAAGAAAAACATATTACATTTTAAAAAGGAAGCTTGCAACTTTTCTCTGTTACAGCGGGTGAGTCTTACTTCGTCAAAGTTCTCAGTATTTGATCACGGCTTTTCTTCCAGAAGGGAAGTCCAATTTGTAACAGATTAAATTAAAATGATTTATAATTGGTGTGTTGATAGGTAAAATCTTGTGATTTGTGTTACTTTATTAAAAGGTTGGTTGTGCAGAAGGAAACAACTGCCAGACTTCTGTTAGTAAACCACTGTAACAATTCATGCTTTCGTCTTTGAAAGCGTTGAAAATATCCACCAACGTGGAACCGAACTGGAAATCAGAGTTAGAAACTGAAGGTTTCAGGAGTCGCGGTTCAGTGGAGAAACAGGTGAACTTTTCTTCTGACTCATCAGGGGAAAATGAGCTCTAATTAATGAACCAATAGAAGAGCAAACCTCTGACACATGGAGGTGTCGGTTGTCAGTAACGCTCGCTCTCACTCCTAACAGGACGGCTGGTTTAAAGGCGGCTGGCTGTCAGAAAATCCTTTGATCAGCTTAGAACATGGCGATGGAGTGCGTCCTGTTTGTTTCAGTGATTTTCGCTGATTGATATACATCACCGTAGCCACGCATAGGAAACTTTCAAAACATCAGTTTGCTACTGGTTTTTTTTCTCTCTGATTTAATGGATTAAAGTTCTGAAAAGTTATAAATTGTAGATACATTTGTGTTCTAGAAAAGCACTTACATAAAAAACTGCAACTTTTATTTTGCCGTTTATAAAGCTATCTGGGTTTTTTACTTGAGTTTTTTCCACTAAAGATAAAAATTTTTCTGCCACAAAAGACTCAACAACAATTATGTTTTTAATCATATCGTCAGAATCTTGATGGTTTTCATTCTGTAGAAAAATCTCAAGCTGATTATTGTAAATTTTGCCATCGGGGAAAAACATTTTGATGGATTTATTTATTTCCACAGTTTTTTGTTTTTTAAAAAAGGTCTTGATCTGACAACCTCTGTTTCTAGAGAGGTCAATAACATGCTATCAGTTATGAATATAATTTCAGATTTGTATCTATTAGAGCTATGAAGTCAGCAGGAATGCCCCTGAAATCACACAAACCTCAGCAGGTCTGAGGTTCTGACCTGGGTCAGAAAAATGTAAACTTTGATAAATGACCACAAATCATTTCTACTGTACTGTGCCATAGTGCTCTCGTTTCTGAGCCAGGTAAAAACAATCAGGTAATGTTTGAATTTCTCCAAAGCCAACATGGCTGCCCTGTGGGATGTAATATGGTGATATGTGGGCCGATAACCTGTTTCCTTCCGGTTTGTTTCTGCGTAGATGTGACTCATTTCCTGATCTGAGTTCTACGTACTCAGAAGCCTCCAGTGGTTTTGGAATCACCACATCCCCCCTGAATTGCGTCACGCAGTTCTTCTGGGCTTTTGTCGATCACACTTCAGATTTACTGCAGTACTTAACTTTTATTAAATTCTATTTTTCTTTTATTACATAAATTAACATTCACTGTCATGACAGAATGAGACAGATTATCTGGGAAAAGATCAGACTCCTCCACCTCCATCTTGTGCTGTTATTGTTGTTTGATGAAATGGCCACGAAACAATCAAAGGCAGGAGGAGGGACTTGGCGCTGTCAATCAAACATGTGTACACTGCAAAACGTGTTAATGGTAGAGAAACAACTCACCGTTACAGGAAAACCGTGTCTGTCACTAGTGGCTATGCTAACTAGCTTGAGCATTCATGGTAGGCTGCTGAGGGGAAGAAGTTGTATCGTAGCAGAGAACAAGGAGATGGGAGGCATGATTGACAGCACTAAGACCAGCCTCCGGGCTCTGATTGGTTGCTTCTAGGGAAAAGGCAATGGTCCTCTTTTTTTCCAGATTATCTGTGACATAGTGATTAATATGTAAACACGTTTCATATAAAGTTATCTCCTGCATATTTAAATGTTTCACATCACTTACTCAAATTTCATTTCAGGCAAAAATGACCTGAACAAATCCAGACAGCGTTTTCCAATGATGTCACTAATTAACTATACCCTAATCAGTCATCCACCTCACTTCATTCTGCCCTCTGATTGGCTGTTCAAAACAACTACAAATTCTCTGTGATTTCTGTTCAGCTAATCTGCTCTGGATATGTTTAAAAACCAAACGACAAACAGGGTGTCCTGACTTTTCCCCGTGCCTGAATGCTATAAATACTTTCTACTGATCCAGCACGGAGCAGACCCAGTCTGTTAAAGTAATCGCCTAAATCCTGAACCGTTAACTCCTGCAGTGAGGATCTGAGGCCACGATTGATCAGGCCATGGTGTAGTTCAAGGTCTGAGCGATTGCTGTTCGGGGTAAACTTCCTTAAGTGGCCTTTAAATAGCAACCCCCTGATGAACAGCGTGGGGCCCCTGGAGCTGGACAAACGGCTAATAGGATTCGTGGCTTTAGCGTGGATCACGGTGAAATTATGAGGACATGTGACCTCTGACGTTGATTTTAAAACTGTACATACAGAAGGATCAGGCAACATCCTGTTTGTGAGTTGATGTAAACGGTTCACAACATTTTGATTTCATTTTTCTGATCAAAGTAGTTTTAAAGGTTGAAGTTTGTTTTGGTTATAACATCAGGTGGAGTTACGTCTTCTGGTTTGCAATCAATATTTTTACAGGTATGAAGCTGAGAGCCAATGAGTCAGCATTTTTTCTGATGACGAGTGATCCTTCAAATGCCTGGCTCAACGGCAGACGGAAGAAATCAATTTAACACACACACCATTCATACTTTGCTGATTGGTGTGTGTGTTTGTTTTTCTGCGACACTTTCCGCCATGTGAAAAATTCCAACGGTTTCTAAAAGGGGAGACGTTGCGCTATTCCAGCCAATATCTGGTTATTACGGTAATTTGTCTCCCGCCGCTGCAGTTAGCATGTTTTCTTCGGTTTAATTTTTAGTGGATTGTTTTAGACAGGAATTGAAAGGTTCCTTGGCCTGGTTAACTCGGTACCTTAAGAAAACTATCAGGAGAAACAACTGGAAATGAACTTATCTGGAAGAAAAAAAAAAACATTCGGGAAATCAACTCGTTGTCTTGAGAAAATGGGTTATTAACATGAGCGGAGGGAGGGTCCCGGCTTCCGTAGAAAACGTCACTGATTCTCTGTGTAGTTTAGAATTGATGCTAATTGTTTCCGTTCTTGGCTCCTCCTGGGGCAGCAACACGAGGAACAATAATGTTTTATGTTTCCTGGTGACTCATAGTTACCTTTGCCTTCTTTGCAGGGAAGGAAAGCTGCTGGGCGCTCTGGCAGCCGGTCCAGCAACATTTCCAAGGTAATAAATGTGCAAATAATAAAGCATTATCAGTTAAAGACGTCACTATGTCAACCTGCCTGTCTCAAGGCCCCGTCTGACGTCGGCTAATATTCTAGCAGACCAGGCTGAATGGCTCTCTGAGGAGACACTTTGTGTTCTTTAATAAATTATTTTTGCATCAAATTCGAAAGAAGCTACTAACATCTCTATGACACAATGTGACAAATCCACAGGTGTTGCATAAAATCACATAATACAGCTGAACCCTGAGTCACCTCCCTCCTCCTCCATTCGTTTGTATTTTTCTTCCAGTGAGTCAGACTCTGCTCGTTTTAAAATGGCAACAGAGTCTTTCAGGGTTCGATCTGGTTTTTCCTGCTATCTAGAGACAGTTTGGTCTGCTGGGAAGAGAGGCGTTAGGTTGTAACACTTTTCTGCTGCCTGAGACAAAAAGGAGCAGCGCGTCATGATGTGGTACAAAATGAGTGAAAGAGCATCACATGTCAAATACAAGCACAGACTGAGCAAGTGTTAAATATTAAAGGTCATTCACACAGGGTCAGAAGTTTGCACACAGGCCCACATACGTAAATGTCCCATACTCATGAGGGGTTGGTGCACTGCGACCTCAGGCGTTTTTTGTTGCCAACAGCAACATCCTGGCTATCCATGTGACCACTCTTCCTATCAGAATCGGTACCGGCCCTTTAAACTGACTAGATTCCTGGGCTGGACCTGGATTTCAAACACAGCTCACAACTTTATGATGCGTTAAGATTACAGTCTTTTCAGGAGTTCACTGTTTGCCAGCTTTTATCTGTGTTTTCATTTAATTTGAAGGCAGTCTGAAACTTTATTTTTTCTTGACTTCATTCCCTTTTGTTGAAACACCTACTTGTCAAAGAGCCAGACCCTCAGCATGATGCTACCACCACCATGCTTAACAAGTGACAACGTTGAGCATGCTTAAGAGTTGGGTCTGTAGCTGGAAACCAACCAGTTTGGATTAGTGTTATGATTTCAAATGAGTTGTAGTAAATTCATAAAATAATAAAAATAATATTTTTGGTGCATTGATAATATGAATTTAGAACCTGACAGATTGTTGGAGAATAAAATAAGCATAAAATAAAAGTTTTATTTTTATTCTTGTCCCTTTCAGGTCAGCAACACAGCTTCAAGAGCATCAACAACCCCGTCTGCTCAGGACATCTGCAGGTAAGACGGACGGCTCTCTGGTTGCTGCTACCCAAAGGAAGGAAGGGCTCTGCATCTTAAAATGCAAAAATAAATGGAGTTATTATATGAAATGGAATCAGGATCGGTATAGAATGAGAAAATGGAAAATAAGAGCTTGTTATGGTGATCGTTTGTGGTGCTTTTGGGGAAACGGAAAATGAGTGTGTGTTTGAACCTTTATGTCCCATCCTCTTCTCACTTCATAATTATTCATTATCCATATCAGAGATTCTCCTTCTGGTTTTTAGCATGTAAGTTCTACATCCCACGTCCCGCCCAGGAACAGCTCAGGATGTTAGCATTTGTTTTCAAAAGGTGAATATGGACAGACTGTCACGACATGTCATCAGCTATTAAAACAGAAGACAAACGTTTCTGCAGGAACATCAGGCTTTATTTGCAACAATTAAAACATTTTTTTTTCATTTTCTTTGAAGAATGGTGGTGGATGGAATAAAGATGTCTCTTTTTTTAACATAAAATTGGATTTTCCTGGTTCAGTGGTTTGGTGTGTATTGCTGAACCTAAAATAAAGTTTAGTTGCATAAAGTTTTATGTGACAGCCCAACACAAAGCGCTGCATGTATGTTACACAGGAGGAAAATGGGTTTCACAAAAAAACAATGAAAGCTGAAAAATGTGACTTGCACTCAGTTGGATGAAATTCATTAATCACATATGACATCTGTGTGTGTTTGATTTAATCTCAGTATAAATCTGCACATTAGTTGGATAATCAACCTCAAACTGAGAACTCAAGGCTCCAACTAAACCTGCAGGCTGGGCAAACAGAGCATGTGGCTGAACACAACATCATCAAAGTAATCCATGGTAGTGGCGGCATCATGCTGTGGGGGTGCTATTCTTTTCTTCTAGATGTAAATAGAAACTGTTAACACAAGATCTTGCCAAGTATTTTGGACTGGTTTCTGGTGCAAAGATCATAGTTTTGTCTTAACACACTTGAATTAAGGCAAAACTAACTTACAAGTACATTTTCAGCAAGAAATAGGAGCTTGTTTTAAGTCAGTAGTTTCTTAATGTTGGTGAAGAAGAACTAGTTCCTCTGGCAGATTTGTTTAACTTATAACATTTTCTCCATGTTATAAGTGAAATAATTTGCCTGTGGAACTAATGTTTTTAATCGATATTATTGACTTAAAACAAACTCATATTTTGCCGAAAAGTTGCATGTAAGTCAGTTGTGTCTTTATCATGTTATTTTCTCATCAGATAGTAATTTGTAATAACCCTCTATATTTCTTCCTCTTTTTAATGAAGGAATGCTTTGTGTTTGTCACAAATCCCAGTAAAATTCATTCAGGTTTGTATCTGTAGTTTGATAAAAGAGAAAAAATGAAAAGGGCAACAAGTTTCTGAAGCTCTGTAGGGCAGCAACGCCCCGAGCATGGAGGAGGAGAGGCTGCTTGGCTTCAGCTTGACTTCAGCAGCCTCTCCTCTTATGTTTTCACAAGTAAACATCGTCTCCTCTGTTTTGATTTAAGGCAGAAATTCAACAGATGCATATCAATCAATTAAGTGCATTTGTGTAGCATATTTCAGCAACAAAGCAGTTCAAAGTGTCTTACATAATAAAAACATTATGTAGTAACCACTTGAAATTAGTAAAAAAAATGCATTTAATCCAGCGCCAACATCAAAATCATCAATTATTCAAAAATCTGCTGAATATTTTATTTCTTGTTTCCTTCAGTGATGTTCGCCATGCTTTTTCTTTTCACATCCAGTTCATAACTTCTTTCTCCATTCTGTTCCATCTGCTGTTTGTTCATGTCCATCTTCATCTGTGTGTTTGTGTGCTCAGCTCTGGACAGTTGACCCGCTTAGATGACATTTCTGAGTCCCGCAAGCCCAGCAAGCACAAACCCAATCCCTCTGCCATGACAGTCACCAGCACGGCCCTGAGCTCGTCGGCCCAGGCCCAGAAGAAGAAGAGACGGCACCGCCGCAAGAGGAGCAGCTGCTCCACCTTCGACTGCGTGGACCTGAGCGGCAAACAGGAGCAGAGCGACCGCAGCCTCAGCTCCGACCGCAGTGAGTTGGGCGAGAAGCGGGAGCGCTCCTTCAGAAACCGCAAGGAGCTTCCTCCCCGCCTCAGGCGCTCCGGCGCGCCGCAGTCCGACTCCTCCACCGAGGACGAGGCTTGGCGGGAAGCCCGCAGCTGGAGCAAAGAGAAAGCCCGACGAGCGCGGCGCCGCAGCGTCAGCAGCCGAGAGAGGGACGCCGCAGGCGGCCGCGGAGCGGGGCAGGACAAGGGGGAGGCCATGGAGCTGCAGTCGGTGAACTCAGACGAAGAGAAGGAGAATCAGCCCCTGGTGGAGGACAGCGGCGGTCTCAAGAAGCGACACAGCACCAGGGGCTCAGCGAAGAGTCCCGTCTCCCAGAACCAAAGATCCCGCAGCAGAGATGGGGAGAAGAAGAGCTGCCGGTCCCGGAGCTCCAGAGGCAGCTCCTCGCTGGCGGAGGACGGCGAGCAACTGATCACCAAGAGATACCAGGAGAGGGGATCGGGAGACGGGGACATGTCGGTGCCCATCCCCCAGAACCACTGTGGGGCCGGGGAGGGTCACGGGGGCACAGCCGGACCCGGTTCAGACGACTCTGAGCTGGAGGTCTGCAGGTTAGTGTGTGAACAGGAAGAGACTTAGAGGCAGACCGACACACTGACGACGGCACAAAAACACTAAACAGCTGCTTGTTAAAAGTATTCACATCCCAACATCATTCACCCCCATTCATGATGTTCTCATAGAACCGCTTTATTTATGTAACAAAGTAACAGTGACTCTGCAGAAATTGTGCTCTTATTTGTCTACACATCTTGAGATTTATTGAAAAAAAAAAACTAGGCTGCACAACTCCCTGAACATTCCCCAATGAATCAAGGTGGTGGCAGCATCATGCTGCTGATGATGGAAGGAGCTGAATATAAAACAGGTATGGACAAAAAAATCCACTAAAGACTTGAGGCTGAGTTAGATGTTCAACCTCAGGCTGGACAGTCAGGGAGAGCTAGAGCAGCATGGATTCACATGACGCTTTGTTACAATGTCCTAGTCAAAGTTCAGAGCTGTGAAAACTGCCTTTGAAAACATACCCTCCAAGAAGAACAAGCTTCTGGTGGACACTTTGATTTTTATTGCTTAAAAATGTTTCAGCATGATTCATTTGCCTTTTATTTCATATTTTATGTTGGTCTGTCAAAAAAAAACAAAAACAAATGAAATGCATTATTCATCAAACACTTCATCTGTTGTAAGTTGACAAAATGTGATGTGGTTCAGGGGCATGAACACTTTTGAAGGTCCTCGTGTTTCCCTCTCGTGATGTGTGTGTGTGTGTGTGTTTCTGCGTAGGATCTGCCACTGTGAGGGGGACGAGGACTGTCCTCTGATCACGCCCTGCCGCTGCACCGGCAGCATGAGCTTCGTCCACCAGGGCTGCCTCAACCAGTGGATCAAGTCGTCCGACACACGCTGCTGTGAGCTCTGCAAGTTCGACTTCATCATGGAAACCAAACTCAAACCTCTGAGCAAGGTGAGCTCACACACACTCACCGAGCCTCCTGAGGATTCAGCTCTGACCAGTGAATACCCAAAAACTGAGCTTCAGTCAAAGTACAAATCAATGGACAAAATGTGCTTCAGTGAAAGTGAAACTACTAGACTAATGTTTTTTACTTGAGAAAAAGTACCGTAAGTAAGGAGAAGCTGTTAAAAATAGTGAAGTACTGAAAGTAGTGGTACTTGTTACATGTTGCATGTTTTCCCTACACTGCAAAAACATGAAGATCCTACCAAGTATTTTTGGTCTAGTTCTAGTTTATAGTGCAAATACCTCAGTACACTTGCAAGAAGATGAAACTAACTTCTAAGTAACTTTTCAGCAAGATATAGGAGCTTGTTCTAAGTCAGGGGTCGGCAACTCCAGGCCTCAAGAGCCGCTCTCCTGCAACTTTTAGACGTCTCTCTTGTCCAACACAGCTGATTCAAATAGCTGAATCACCTCCTAAATGCAGTCAAGTTTTCCAGAGTTCTGCTAATGACCCCATTATTTGACTCAGGCGTGTTGAAGTAGAAACACATCTAAAAGTTGCAGGAGACCGGCTCTCGAGGCCTGGAGTTGCCGACCCCTGTTCTAAGTCAATAATTTCTTAATATTGATGAACAGGTTCTGGTTCCGTTGGCAGATTATTTCACTAAAGAGAAAAATCTTGTGCTGTTATTGGAATAATCTGCCAAAGGAACAGATCATTTCCCATCAATGTTAAGGAATTATTGACTTAAAACAAGCTCCTATGGCTTTCTGAAAAGTTACTTGTCTTAATTCAAGTGTATTGACATATTTACAAAAACTGGTGGAAAAGTCATGGTGAAACCTACTTAAGAAAAATATAGATACATGAACAATGTATGCAAGTACAGTAACTAAGTATTTGTACTTCACTCCATTACATCACTGACTCTCACACTTTAGTTGTAAGTGGAACCTCTCTCACCATGTCTGTGTCTCTGTCTGTGTCTCTGTCTGTGTCTCTGTCTCTGTCTCTGTCTGTCTGTGTTCCAGTGGGAGAAGCTGCACATGACGAAGAGCGAGAGGAGGAAGATCTTCTGTTCAGTTTTGTTTCACTTCATAGCTATAGTGTGTATGTTGTGGTCTGTCTACATTCTGGTCAAGAGAACCACAGAAGAGATCCGACTGGGGAAGAACGGTCAGTACGCTCCCGTCAGCCATCAGACTGAAACACAAACCCTCAGCAGGACCCTGTGCTGTTTCCCCACATTCCTCATTTTAAAAAAATACAAAAAGACGAAGAGATAGTTTGGATGATTAAGAACTTGACATCAGCACTCTAAAAGCAAATAAATTTGTTTCCATTTCTGGAGTTGAATGTTTGAGAAATTGTAAAGATTGCACAGCTTGACATTCTGAAGGTCGTCCTTAAGCATCAACCAGGCAAAGCTTTAGCTCGTGAAATGAGTTGGACATATCAAATGAAGGATAATTCATCTCTCAGCTCGTTTATTAGCTCTTTGTTTATTAAATACACGAAAGATTTTTTTTCTCCTCTTGTCCATTTTCTTAATTTTACATTGATACCGAGCTGAAAAAAAGCATCCAGTTTAAACTGATTGGGAAAAAGTCTGGTTCCTTAGAAGCAAAATATAAAGAAAAGACGCAAATCTTCTCTGAGTCGCTCATGTGATAAATGTGGAAATGTTCTGATCCAGATTTTTTGAGTTTCGGTCTAATCCCAATGTGCAGATTTTATATTTCCCCATACAGAACACTTTTACTTAAACAAATACTTTTTCTTTTACCAAAAAACATTATTTTTATCTGGAAATTGACACATTTCCATTTAGGAAGTTAATTTCAATGTAATCCTGTATGTCCTTAATCCCAGCTCTAAAATATCTAAAGGTCAAGTTGTCTACTGACTAGCTGTCCATAAAAAGTCTCCGTCTTACATCAGTTAATATTTATATTGAGTTTGAAGGAAGTCGTGGATAATTTACTGTCATCATGAGGAAACATCACAGGGTACCTTTCATCTTTTCACCTGTCTGACTCTGACTGCATAACTTTAAAGATGTCGTCCATAAATCATGAATAATCTTTTTCTAATTTAGTAAAAATTGTGATTGTGCTGTTTAGTTTGTAGTGCCAGTAAAAGGTCTGGACACATCTATCCATTCTCTAACTCTATAGAACCAGCTTTTTACTGGTACTGAGAAACTCCTGTGGTGGTGTTGCTTTGAAACAGGATTCTGTACAATCTGGACCAAAGTTTGAGGTCAGGTGTCCATTTTATCTATTTTCTGACTAGTTAAAGAAGAAACCTCAAGCACAGCGGTTTGAACTAATAATCAGAAAGGCAACAGAAAGCTACCCACTTCCTCACTAACTGAAAATAATCACAAACACTCCCAACCACCTGACAGTCAGTATGCAGCAGCTTTCAAAGCTTACAAACTGGTCTGGGTGTTAGACTTCTCCTTCTGTCAGTGGAAGAAGTTAAGGATGGGAGAATGGTTTCACTATATCAAGGCTATTTGAGTTTTCAACTAATGTGATAAAACATGTAGCAAGTTTTCAAAAAGTCAATAACAGCTGCAAGTAATCACAACGTGCTGCTCGAGTCCGTCACTGAGGACGTTCAGGACGTCTGAGGGTTAAAGCACAAACATGTCGGCGCTCATTAGGCGTTCGATGTTTCCCAACTCCTCTAGTGGGTTTGGACTTTGTTGTTTTAACATTCCTGGACAAAGAGCAGCTCAAACCAGCTAGCTTGCTTCACTTGCTGCGTTCTCATTACAAACAAATGTGCACAAAACTTTGTCCATCTTCCTCTGACGTCAAAAAAAAAACACAATTTCACAATTGTGGTATTTCCATTGAATAGGAAACTCAATTAAAATCGCATGTGAACTTATCGCATGCTCATGCAATAAGTCACTTCAAAACGTGTCATCATCCTTGTACTTCCTGTTGTCGTCTTCTTCGTGGTTTTCGTCAGTGGCAACATCCAGTTTTTGATCATGTGACTTTTCTGATACAAATAAAATGTCTCCATTATCCAGTTTTGCAGGATAACTGATTTCAATCTGGCCGAGAAACCAGCTCATGAAAACTTTTGATTGAAAAACAAAAATTTTGAAAAGATTGGCGCATTTCCATTGAGCAAATGTATTTTGTGGTATTAAATCATTTATGAAGAAGCAGCTACTGTTGAGGGACACGGTTGTTCCAGCCATTTCTATTCAATGTCTTTTCATGTATTCTTCTGGGCCTTGGAAGACTGATTAGTTTTATTAAGCGCAGCGCTTTGAACTGATCATCTTGGAAGAATCTGAGGAAAATTCTATTTTTTTCTTCCCCGAGTTCCTTTGATGTTCTCATTCTTCAGAGTATTGGTCAATATAATGAGTGCTGTCAAATTTATCACTTTATACGCTAAATAGTAGCTGCACTCAATCATGATTATCAGCCAGATATTATTACGCCACGGCCTTGTCTGGTGTTAATAGAGAACTTTTAGCGCCAGCTTTCAAACAATTTGGAAAGCTGTTTTGGATTATTTGTAGATTTGAGAAACGTGGGCTAAAATCACACCTGTGCAAATATCTGTTCCAGAGACGAGGACTGATGTTGGTCTAAGGTCTTTTGACCGATTAGGAACTGAACACAGAAATGACAGCCTTTCTGGAAATATTGTGCAGCACCATCTGGTGTTTGTTAACAGGAACTGCAACTGTTTGACAGGATGGGAGCAGATAAAGTCCTCTTGACTTCAACTGAATTGAAATGCTGCTAAGAAGCAGGCAGGAAATGTTCAGTTTTATCTTGAGAAACAAAGAACAGTCTGTGGAAACTTTACTGAAAGGTTCAGTTTTAGATCCTCTCTTTCGGAGTATTTTCTGAATTTGGCTATTCTTCACCAGGTTGATGAAAGTAACACCACAGAAGTTCAGTCTGTTTGACTCCATCTTGTTTTTTCACGTTGAAAACAAAAACAAGACTCTCAGTGCTTTGTTGTGAAGTGTTGTGTGCTGTCATATTTTAGATGAATAAAACATAGATGCAGTGTATAAAACACAGCTTATATATTTAGAAATGACTTTAAAGCTGTAGTAAGTAACTTTTGTAAAGACACAAATAGCGAAACTATCATTGTGTCACAGTATAATATGAGACAAGATATGATCTGTGAAAATAAATTGAGCTCCTCCACCTTCTCCCTCATCTGCTACTGCTAACTAAAAGAATGCAGCATTTACAACCAAAAACAACCAATCAGAGCCAAGGGGAGGGTCTTCTATCAGTCAGCCTCATGAAGGTGCCACTAAATCGGTGGCCATGCTAACTAGCCTTAGCATTCACGATGGGCTCTGCTGAAGGGGAGAAGCTGTACGGCAGCTGACAGCAAGATTTAAAAGAGACGGAGGTTGAGCAGCACGCACGTAGGCTTCATTGGCAGCGTTGAGACCCACCTCTGGGCACTGATTAGTTGTTTCTAAAGTTGGCACTGGGAGAAAGCTGAAGAACTCGATTTTATTAACGTCTCACACCATACTGTCACAACATATCGATGGTTTCAACAAATATGTAAAGATAAGTATAAATATTTTTTTATGAAAGTTACATACTGCAGCTTTCAATCATAGCTTCAGACAAACAGAGAAATTACTCCCGCTCTTGATTGCAGACGAGTTACGGAGAGTTTCTCTTCTCAAGTACTATTCAGCTCAGGGTAAGCAGCTCTGCGCACACACACTCCCCCCGTCCTCCAGCGCTCCCCTGGCAGCCCGGCTGACTGCGGGTTGGGGGTTTCTCTGTCTCCACAGGCGTGCTGGAGTGGCCCTTCTGGACCAAGCTGATCGTGGTGGCCATCGGCTTCATGGGCGGCCTCATCTTCATGTACATCCAGTGCAAAGTCTACCTGCAGCTGTGGCGCCGCCTCAAGGCCTTCAACCGCATCATCACGGTGCAGAACTGCCCAGAGAAGAACCTGCACCACCCTCCACAGGCCCGGCCCGGCGCCATGTCCAACGGGAAGCACGAAGCTGTGGAGGTTCCCGTCCCTCCAGCTCTGGCTCCGGTTCAGGACATGGACTCGGACTTGTCCGTGGAGGCTGCGGTGGCGCCGGACCCAAACCCCGTCTGACCGCTCCTCCTGCATGCTGGACCACGCTCTGCTCTGTTCAGAGAGGCAGGCGAGAGAGCAAGACGTGATTCAAGACTCAGGTGGTACTTTCTACTCAGCTGCAGTGATAACTGACCTTTGAGATGCAGCACATAAGTATTGATCCCATCCAGGACAGCTGGCATGATGTGGAAGCACAAAACGCAAGAGGCCAGTAAGAAAAGAGAGACAGTAAGAAAAGAGAGACAGTAAGAAGGGGACTGAAAAGAAAAGACGTGGTTTAATGGCTTGTTGATGCCATATTATAGTATGCACTTTCTAAACCTGCACTGATAGAAATGTAGTTGAAAACTCCTGAGGATGGGTTCAACCTGAGGTCTCAGTGTGCTTCAAATACGCCCAGCAAACTCAAGACCGAGTTCAAACATAAAGCTTCACATCCCACATATACCAGACAATATATAACACGGTAGACACATGACCAATATCAATGGATCATGCAACTGATAGAAAGTCTGAATTCTGGAAGATGTAGGCAAAGGTTTAGCCACTCAAATCTAGCAAAGCAAAGTTGCTGGCCTCAGGTGGCCCGGTCAGAACCAGCACCTCCTTCTACGCTGTTTTGCTTCCTGGAGGCATGGACTCAGGTGAAGTTTTAAACTTTACCCAAATGCCAACGTTTCTCCGTGACATACATCATGCACTAACTTCCTAGCTAGGAAGCTATGGAGCTTCCTGAAAATTGTCCACACTGTAAACAATCGTCCTTCACTGCAAAGAGAGAAGCTAAACAAGATGGCTGCTATTGGTGATTCAATATTTGGAAGCGAGGCCAAAACACTGATGGACTTTGTTCCCTTCCAACTCTGCTATTGTGAAAACAGACAAATCTAAAACAGCGCAAAAAATCAACGTCATCGTTGTTAACTCCTCCTTCCGTTTCTGAATGGCCTGGTAGAAAACCTACTGGAGGAAATTCAGTGTTGGGAGAAAGCCCAGACTGGAGGCTAGTGACGTCAACTGACTCACTCGCTCATTGGTCACCTAGCAACAACCTGTTCAGTAACTTGCGCAGCAGGATTCAGGTTTCGCCTCAGTGCCTCATAACTTCTTAAAAATGAAAAACAGCATGGAGGGAAAACTGGATGAAACGGGAACGGTCACACCACCAGTTTGGCAGGATATCAAATATTTTAAACAAAAAAACTAATAAATAATTACTGATTATATTTAACCAGTAATTACACTTATATGTTTTTCAGCCATATAGTCAAAATATACAGCAGGTGATGATGTATAAATGTATGATGTATAAGTTCAAATCCTCTCAGCCTCCACCTCTAAACGTTATATTTACATGCTGATCAGACTCACTAACTGGTTTTGTCTACATTGCAGATTTAATCATGGCCCTGAAAATCCCTCCTGTCAAACTGCTACAGAGCAGCTGTGGCTACAAGCTAGCTCCCCTCCATCAGTGTGTGTGTGTGTGTGTGTGTGTGTGTGTGTGAGTGAGTGAGTGAGTGAGTGAGTGAGTGAGTGAGTGAGTGAGGGTGGGTGGGTGAAGGGCTCTGGAGATGTAGAACAGAACTTTTACAGATATTCTGTCATTACAGCCACAAATTTCCTTCATTTCAATTGGAAATGTGTTTAAATTTAGCCTTTTTCTCTGACACAAAATAAAATCCAGAGCTCATCTTATGAGATTTTGTCCACTGGGCGACTTGAAGCACATCGACACCTTCAAACACTCTGGGACAATCAGGTCTTCAGACACCAAAGACTTGTAATTATTAAAGCATTTAGTCTTAATTCCAGTCTGAATCTAAATGTGACCTTTGAAAATGTATTAGGGCAGTTTTGTTGTCGTTTGTGGTTCTTACTCTGCAGGTCAGTGATTTCAATGTCAATAAGATTAGAGGTTTGACAGTTGCCATGTGTTGGTGTTTTTTCTTTAGATTGCAGCTGTGTTTGTCGAAACCTTAAAAAGCTTAAAAAGGGATGAATGTTTAATTTTCTACAGATGTGATTTCCAGTGTCACAGTTCAGGGGTCAGGACATGTTTAAGTCTTCAATCCACAGTCCATTCATAGCTTTAATTGGAGACGCTGTGGGTTACATGCAAAACCTTTTTTTTTTGTTTGTGCAATAAACAATGAATGTAGAACATCCAATCAGCTGCTGTTATTAAATCACCAAACAGAAAAGGTTTGAGTGTCTGAATCCGACGGTCTAGCACCATCTTGTGGACAGTCGTGGCAGAGCAGCGCGATCCAGTCACTGAGGTGAGTGTTAGTGAGACTCTGGCATCTCCATGTCCTCATCCAGCGGCTCCTCTTCATCTCCTCTATCAGCATCGTCATCATCATCATGCTCCACCTGCTCTTTTTCCTCCGTCTCAGTCTTTGAGTCCAAAACTTTGCTTGACACTTTTCGCATTTTTATGTTTGGAAGTTTCTTCAGATCTCCAGTCCAATTTCTGAGGAAAATAAAAAAAATATTTATTTTCTATACCTGGGAAACTTATTGTATTTTCTGCATGTTTTGTACATTTTTTTAAATGATTATTTGAAGCATGCTGTTTCTATTCTCAGATTATGTGTGGACTAGGCAAAAATACACATTAAGGCTTGAATATATTCATATACACTTAGGGCTGGACAATAAATCAATATACATTTCAATTTTACACATTATCAATGTAAATAGATAATACATCTGGTAGAATATTAAGTATATAGAATATTCACTGAACTTTTCCCCCCGTTTTATCGTCTTTGATTGTTTTATTTTGAACATTTAAAATACCCAGTTCCAGTGAATTTTGTAACGTTACTCGTTACAAAATTAAAGCCTGTTGGTCTTTGAGAAAATAAATTGAAAAGAGAGACGTTACTCGAAATTGGTCTCAAAACAGTGTTATTGTTAATCGCAGAAATTATTGAGGCGAGTCCAGTAAATATTACCATTGAGACGAGTTGAAATGCAAAATATCATATCTCAAAATATTCATCTAGTCTCTAGCTGCATTTCCATTACAAATGCGTGCAAAGCTTTGTCAATATTCCATTAATGTAAAAAAAAAATTAAATTATGGTGATCCATTACACAAACGCAATTAAAATCATATGTGGATGCAAGTTTTCACGTGATGAGTCATCACGCCAGTGGCAACATCAGATTGTTGGTCATGTGACTCGTGTGTCGCAAAAAAGTTTCCATTACAGTTTTTCAAGAAGCAAATTTTAATACAACCCAAAACAAACCCAGCCTCCTTGCACCAAAACTTTATTGACAAACATCTTTTCAAAATTGCCATATTTCCATTCCACAAAGTTATTTTCAAAATCTCAAATTGTGCAATTCAAAGGTCAATGGAAACGCAGTTATTGAGGCCAAAAGGTTGATATTTTTCCTCATCTGATCATAAAACTTCTCATCAGCAGATATTTGCCTTGCCGACATGAACAGCTGCAGCTTGAAAGTGTCCATTTTGCAGGACAGATTTGTTTTTTGGTTGACGCCCTCTCAATCTAATATTGTTTCATTGTGGACAGTTTGATGTAGCTCACTTGGTTGTTCCTGATCAATGTCCTCTTTTGTGATGTAGGAGTTTTGGTCAGAGCTGAGTCTAGGACACGACTGTGTGTCTCATTATGATCCGGCAAATTAAAACTGGACTTGGAATGGATCAGTTTGGTCTAATTAGTCAAAATCTGACCTGAATGAATTCAGATGCTTGGTGTTGATGATGTCTGGGATCTCTGAAAAACAAAAAAATAAATAAAGAAACAACAGGGAAAGATGGAATCTGACTGGAAATATTGATGTGCACAACTGCTCTGTTTCCGGCAGTGACTCACCCAACCCAGCGCCCTCAAACTGCGCCCGCTCTCGCTCTACGCTCTGTTTGATGACCGCTTCTCTGGCGCCGTGGAGACGACCCTGACGACCCTTGATCCCGTTCACCAACTCGATCTGCTCGAGCTCTGAATCGAATCTGTGGAGGTACCTGAACATTCCAGACAAACAATCAGCTGAGAGGAGAGGAAAGGAGAACTGATGAACTCAGGCAGTGCTGGTAACTCAGATTTAAACTCAACATTCAGAGATCATTTAAATCATGGAAGGTTCTCCAAGGACTAGATCTAATTATCCAGATCTATCAAGTAGAAATGTTTGGACAAGAAATCAATACTTATCTCGCAACAGACGCATAATATCAGTTAATAACCATGTACAATAAGACTTTGAAGAATGTGGAATTAATGAGTTACAACCTTTAATTTCCCTTTGGGATCAATTAAGTATTTTTGAATTGAATCAAACGTCTGGGAAGAGAACAGAACCGGGTCTGGTACCTTTCAACAATCTCACAGGCTTCTCTCTTGCTGTAATTCGTCTTATTTGGATCCAGTTGACTCTGAAACCACAGCAGCTTCTCACCTGTGATTCAGAACAAGCAGAACTGTGAGCTTAAAGCCTGAAACGTCATAACAACAATGATTATTCTTTTATTATTACAAACAGAACCACAAACTCGCCTATGTTGCTCAGGCGTGTTGCTTTTTCACTCTTCATCCTGTAACATTAAAGAAACGTCAATCAGCCTCCAGCGGTCCTAACAGCTGGAAGCAGCGCCGGTTCTGGTTCTGGTGGACTGACCTCTCCTTCCGCTTCAGCCGGACATCCTCCCGGTTCAGGTAAGCGGCTTTCCTGCTGAACGGATGGACGACTTTGTCCGCAGCTTTGCTCTTCTGGGCCTTCGGCTGACAGAAACACAGAAACAACCAAACCAGCCATTAGTTCTGCGTCTTTCTCACCGCGGCTCCGTCAACACGCTGAGACTCTCGCTGCCTTACCATCTCGCTCTGAACAGCACGCGCGTGCAGCTTGTGTTGACAACTGATCAGGAAACGGAAATGGTCCTTCACTGAAATACGCCCCGGAAGAAAATTCACTTGTTGTGATTTTGTTCTTGGGTTCCGGACTTGGTTCAACTAAGAACCGTGTTTTTCGACTCCGAGAAACTCTTAACACAGATGCAATACAAACCTGGTCACCTTCTTAAAAACACATTTTGTTCATAAAACACTAACTCAAAAATTAAAGCGCATATTTTTATTTGGGGTTTACAGCTGGGTGGACACACTCTCTCCTATTTGTATAATCCAGTGAGAGTACAAAGCGTTTATTCATCGATTCATTATTCTAGGAATATATTATCTGTCCTGCGATGTAATAGATAAATTGTAAATGGATGACAGAGATCAAAATAACCACGAAAATAATTCAATTTAATTCAGTTCAACACAATCATACAGACATTCCAGTTGAACATTGTTAAGCAGTGCATCACGTTTGGCTTATTATTTAAATTAGCTCAAATGTTCCTATCTTGGGAAGCCTAACAATTGCATTAGAACAGCACGTAGTGAGAGTTGAGAGGAAAAGCTTTAACAAGAAGAAACCTCCAGCAGAACCAGGACCTGTCTCAGAATGCAGACTGCACTCTTCAGGATTTCACCTCATGTATTCATCAGCATCACACCTGCTGTCTTTCAAAGCAAATATAAACTGAGTTTGAATGTTTTTTAGTTGGACCTACAATCTAACAGTGATGTTTGTACTTGACAAATCTATATTATTCAACTAGATAATGGATAAGTCCATTATGGAAACGCAAAGCTGCAAGTGAGGCTGGTGCTTCTTTCCAGTAGTCATTAGATAAAAATGATGGAGACGGAAACGTTTTACATCATTTGTTGGGATTAAATTATTTTTCAATGACCTATTGAGATCTTGTTCAATGGATTTGAAAATGAATGTTTTGCTTTCGTCTTAAAATGAATAGAAAGTGGCACAACCTATTGACCTTGGTTAAATAGTTAAAGTGTTTTCTTTTGGTATCAGGGGTGCCGTATAGGGGGGAAACAGGAGCCCCTCAACAATTTATTTATTTTTTTGTTCATAGAATTAAAAGAAAAATATAAAAAAATAAAAAATCGGGCCCCTGTCAATTACAAAATTAATTATATTGTATTTTTGAATGTTGTTTTTAGCAGTAAAAATTAAATGTTACCCGTCCAGGACCAAAATCACACATCCATATTTGACCTGAATACCATTGGATCTGCATGAAATGGTTGGTTTCATGCATTGTTCCTGCTTGGAGCTTGACGGTGACGGTGTTCAGCAGCAGTCAGTAGAAAACACAAATGACCGTGGCAGTTACTATGCTGCTCAGAAAATAATAAATCAGGTTTTCAAAAAAATAAATAAAATAGAGAGAGAGAGAGTGGGAGAGAGAAAAGGGTGCAATTTGTAACCCAGTTTTTCTCCGAGAGGTGGGTAGACTGTGTGAGATTATCAACCATTTAGCATAGTTAGCTACAGACTACTGTAGCATTTAATGAATTAAAGATATTCATATTTTGAACTTGTCCCTGTACCTTTTACCACACTTAACAACAGGTGAGTCAGTCAGCAGCAGCTCTAACCTGCATCCCTCCTGACCCGTCCTCTCCTGAGTGGAATAAAAGCTGCTGTAACTTTGATATAAATATTTTTTTCACATATTTGTTAAAACTGCCATTATGTTGTGACAGAATGGCATGAGAGATAATCTGTGTAAAATCTATTTTCTCTGCCTTCTCCCAGTGCTATCTAGAAACAACCAGTCAGTGGCAGGAGAGATTTAATGCTGTCAATCACAATCTCATGTGGTGCTGCTCATCCTTCCTCCCATCGTTCTATGCTATGCTGCAGCTAGCATAACTTGTTGTAAACGCTTAGTCAAGTTAGCATAGCTACCAGTAATGGCAGATAAACATTTAGCAATTCACATTTTTGTCAGGGGGTCCAAGATTCCTGGTGCCCCCTCTGGTAGGTATAAAAATGTTTTTTAGACCAACAAAATAGAAAAGATGACTCAGAAAGTTAGGAAATTAATTCTACATCTTTCCTTTTTGAGGCAAACACCTGCAACCCTGTTGCAGACCTACACTGACTGGTCCTTTGCTTTTTCTCATTTGTGTAATTGTCAGTGTCAAACATCCAATTCACTCCCAGGTCAGATTGTGACATGTTCTGAAATTGGCAAATCAAAAAAGAGCTTCTTGAAAAACAAACCATGTTGATTTAAATAAAACTGTACATCAGTCAAGCTCCGATTTGTTCCCAGAGACCACACTGTAACAAATTGCCCTGTATTTTTACAGTAAAATGTTGGCAGCAGGGTTGCCAGCATTATACCGTTAATATACAGTACCCTTACTGTAATCAACTTTACAGTATATTACCATCACAAAAGAAATCTTTTGATTACAGCACATTGCTGTTTTTAATCAGATTTACAGTAGACTACTGGCAGCAGTGTTGCCAGTATATTACAGTTTTTCTATGGTACCATTACTGTTGAATTCACATACAGCTTACTACTGTAAATTTCCAATATAAAATAGAAACATGAAAAGAAAACACTTAGAAAATGTAAGTTCCATCATGTCAAACATTTATTTGGAAAAAAAAAAAGAACCAACTCAAATGTTGACTCATACAGTCTTTAGTGGGCCACATAATAAAGACGAAGGTTTTGAAACGACAATGTATGTGTGCCTTAAACCTAAACCTTTTCTACAAGAATGTTGAGGGTAAACTGTCCAAAGTAAGTCATATTCTGGAAAAACAGTAAGAAAATCACCATCTATTTTGTGAAATAAATTTCTTAACTGATTTAAAGAGTATTTGAATAAAGCATGAATTGTGGCCTTTTGATTAGTCTGAAATAAAATAAGTATGAAATAAAGTATGGAAATAATGAATTGTACAACTCAGCACACTACTTTTTCAATACAAAATACTACTTTTTGTGGAAGTGAGGAACAATATGATGCAACATAAAACAAATGAAACATTTAACTTTCAATCTAAAGCATAGAAAAAAAATGCAAATTTTAGTTTGATAATTTAAATGAAACATTTAGACTTGAATTTCCTTTAGGGCAAAATCAGAGCTCCAACTTCAAATGATAAAACAATGAAACATTATTAGACAACACACTGCCAAGATAAGTTAAACATGGTGCCTGTACAGTCAAAATTACATCTGAAGAACAGAAAGTGGGAGCCTTAACAAAATTTATGCTCTTAATTAAAAGAGATGTCTTAAGATTATGCTGACCTTTAAACCAAAAAAATCTCTCAAGAACACTCCTGTTCAGGGATAAGTTGCCTTCATGCCTGTATAGTTTTTGTTTGCTTGTTTTTGCGTGGAGGGGCAACAATATCTATAGCTTGGTTAGAAAATTCTCACTATGAAATTCCATTCAAAGTCCATGAGGTTTTTCAGCAGAGTTGAAACACGGGGGATGACAGTGACCGACTTCTTTTGAAAAGTTTTCCCTGTCCTCTTGGAGATGATCTTGCTACAGCTGGCCTTGGTCCGGGTTGATATCAAGAAAGCGCCTGAAAATGCAGTAATTTCAGATTAGCATATGATGCTTAAGGAGTCAGGGTTTAATGAGTGCTAGGTGAAGACAAACTTCTGAATGTTAAGAGTTAATAAAGAGACACCAGCATAACATTTAAACAGTTTTCTGCCAAGTCAACTTTGTGAAACTCCAAATTCCCAGTTGCTTTCACCAATTTCACTTTAGCAGCTAATCATAGCAATTCAAGTCAAATTACACAAAAGAAAGAAAAAGAGCTTCCAAACATGTCAATATTTGTAAATATGAATCATCAAAAATAATTTACCTTAGGATTGGCTCATAAAATGCAGGATTCAAATGGATAGTCCTGCTAAAGAAAGTTCTAGAGCAGGGGTGTCAAACTCCAGACCTTGAGGGCCGGTATCCTGCAACGTTTAGATGTGCCTCTGCTGCACCACCTGAATACAATAATAGGTCATTAGCAAGACTCTGGAGACCTTATCTACACAAGGAGGAGGTAATGAAGCCATTTCATTCCAGTGTTTTGTACCTGTGGCACATTGAAAAACTGCAGGACACCTGGAGGACTGGAGTTTGACACCCCTGTTCTAGAGGTTGCTTCCACATGTCACAACATGTCTTCTTCAGAAATACAGTAGCGTTCTGTTTAAAGACAGCCTCCTTACCGTTGAATCTAAAATCATTCCCAAAATGCAATGCTACTCACAGTATACTACAGTATTTTATTAAAAACAGTAATAATTGCCCAGAATGCATTGTTTTTCACGGTGCAGTACCGTTTTCAATAGAAACAGTATGATACTGTTCAGTTTTGGCCGTTTTTTTACAGCAATTTGTTACAGTGCATTTTAGACGAGTCAAGACTCCTCTGGCATGCTTGATGGTGAAAAGAGAAAACTGCGTCAGGGTTCTTAAAATAAATCTGGAAAGAAGAGAATTGCTGTAAAATCTTTCGTCCCGGTTTAACAGTCACTGCGACACCCTGCAGGCTGAGGCCAAGCTTCAGCTTTCAACGAGTTAAACCTCGTTTCAGTTCACTTTAGTTCACTATCAGCACTTGAATGTTTGTCTAGAAAAAAGAACCAACAGCAACTTTAGGACATTATGGGGGGATTCTGGAAGATGTAGATCTAGTTAAAAGCAGATATTTACATGCACTGTGTAAAAAGATACAAACACATATTTTCTTTCTCACTGTTTGAAGTTAGGTTAGACCAAACCTTTTTTGTTTTAGTATGGCTAGAATTGTTAAATTTATTTCTATTAGCTAAATGCCAGAAAATGTGGTGAAAACATATTTTAGGAATTTAAAAAAAATTTTTTTTTAACTTTCCTGAAACTCAAAAGTTTACATACATTTGGTCAGTATAAGGGATTCCTTCCTCAAGCTTCTCTCAATAGTTTGAATATACATTCAATTAAAGGTATGTCAATTGAAATGTATGCAATTAACATACTTTTCAATAGATAGCCAAAATTAGTAAAAGTCGATGAGTTTTTCTTCCATTTGCATTATTTTCCATCCACTGTTTGCTCATTAATGCAGATAGGTTTCTTAGATCACTCAACTCAACTAAATCAACCAATTATTCTGGCATGGAAAGGTTTTAACTCAAGCGATGAACCAGTGCTGTGCCGATATCTAACAGAAAACAAGCAAAAAAATCCAAAACTTTGGATTGCCGGTTGCTATTTGCAACCGGCAGTCTGTGACAAAGCAAAGTTTGATCAAATGTCTTCAGCTTTATCTGCAGTCTTCTGAAAAGGCTTAATAGTAATCATGCTGTGGGCTTGCATGATGTCAGGTGGTGCTTCATCCATAATATTGGCAGTATAGTGCTGTCTGTCAAAATGATGATGTTGGATGATGTTGCATCTCTTGGTCTGCAATTTTACCATCACACACACACACACACACACACACACGCATGCAGCTTATTGGGTTACAATAACTATGAGTAAAAATTTTGAGTGCACAAAATTGCACTCAATAGCACAAACATTACAAACAGCAGAAACAATATCCTCTTCCCTCTCTTCAAAATCAATACAAGGTTGATCAAAAAAAACAAAACAGAAAAGAAGCAATTATTCTTCAGACAACTATTTAAGTTGAATATTTTTCAACTCTTGTGTTGCCTCGCCAGCCTGCGTGTTCACATCAATGAGCTCAAAGTTTCACCTGCACGATTCTCTGCTCAGCTGAATGAGGACGAGCTACAAAATGATTTTCTGTAAACATTCCTGAATATAAAAACATGGAAACCTGAGAATCTTCAGACACGTTTGGTTTGAGACAATGAAAGATTTTTTGAAATCAGGGCAGGTTATGGGTAGTTGTCCAGGGTGGCATCAAAAAGGGGCGGGGCATCCAAGAACTAAAAAATTTAATGTCTGTTCAGGAACAAGTTTGCTACTATGTGTATTAATGTATAGTGAAGTAAATTTCCCTTAGCGGTTGAAATTATCTCAGAAAAAACCCGCTGATAATTTCTTGCATTTTAATTGGTTGTAGTGAGCACAAGGCGGGGCTTGCCCATTCCTACAACTGAATGCATGTTTCTATTTTGAGCTCATGAAGTTAGGCATAGTGATTAATCACAATTACATTTTCCAATAGATTGACAGCACTAGTTAAAACAGCCATAACGTAACAGTTCACTGTCAAAAACCATCTTGATTGCTCTTATGTAATTTTGTCTTTTATTTTGCCAACAGCCATGTTGATCCCAGTTAACGGAATGAAACGCCTCACCCTTTTGGTAAAGGATCTTTTTAGCTTGAGCGTAACTTTGTAAAATGAAATTATTGAAGTAAATGAACTTCCCCATGATCATCTCATTTATTTAGCCTGATGTAGCTGTCGCTGTGTGAGCTGCTCATCTTCCCACAGACATTTCTCTCTGCTCCTCTGACGTGTTTTCATCTGAATTCTGGACGGAGTCGTTTTGCCGTCGCCCAGCTCTTGTAAAAACCAGCCTTCTGAGGAAATTTTCCTGCTGTTTGGCTCCTCAATGCCACTTCTTGTTGTGCAAAAAAAAAAAAGAAAAAAAAAGAGGCCTGCTTGACTGATAAGACTGGCTGCAGCAGTCTTGTTCAAACACGCCCCGTCTCCGTCGCTGTCCTGCCTGGAAGAAAACCATGTGAAGCCTTGTCTTTTTATTGAAAGTAGGCCAGCAAACCCAGAGATAATCACAGCGGCATGACCCTCGGATGCGCGGCTGCTAATCCACCGCACGCCGTTCTTCCAGGACCCTGCAGGAAGGACACAACTGTGAATCGAGAGGCGGTTTGACAGGAGACACCTGACCTGCTGCCATTCGCTGAGCGATTTCTGGAAGAAGTTCTTCCTTCCTCAAAGTTAACTCTCTCTACCCTCCACAACCCCGCCTTGGTGCCATTGCCGACCTGACTAAGAAGAATGTGATCGCTGTGCAGATCAGGAACCATCAGACTTGTAGCAACAAGCACACACTCTGCCTGTTGCATCAGGCAGAGTGTGTGCATCAGATCTGAGAGCAGTCAGTGTGAGTCTGGTCTGTGGGTGTGTTTCAAGTGGCTTGGTTTAAAAAAAAAAAAAAACGTTAAGTCAGATCAGGAAGTGTGATGCTGTGACAGGACAGGAGGAAACAGGCTCAGAATGGCAGTGTGTGTCTCTGCTTGATAACATGGCGGCCCCCCGGCTGAAGACCCCGGCTCTGATCCTGCTGCTGCTCAGCGCTCTGACCGGGACAGGTAGGCCGACAAACCGCCGCGTCACAGAAAACAGCTCTGTCATTGTCTGTCTCCACTCCCATGCTGCTTTCTCTTTTTTTTTTTTTTCTTTTTCTTTTCTTTTTTTTTTTTTTTTGCTCTGATCCTCCATGACTTTATTGCCACATGATTTTCCAGTTTTAGATGAAAAGTCCAGATCTGAGCAGTCTTCCATCAAAAAGCACAAGGCGTTCCTTCCAGGTTCATCTTCTTTTCATGTAATCTTCTTCACGCCAGAAACTCGTGGAATCTGCTTTCTCTGTCCTGAGATAAGCCCAGCCTGAGTCCTCTGTCCCAAATTTCACAACTCACCTGCCGCTCAGATAATTAGGTGATCAGATTAAATGAAGAAAGCAGAAATCTTTTGGGAATGCCACCTTCATTCTGTTTAATTTGTGAATTTGGCAACTCTCCCTTTTTTTTTTTTTTTGTTGCAATTGGTTGTTCAGACGGAAGTCCAGAGTTCCTGTGTGACTCATTTTTGATGGTGTTTTGTTCACAGTTTTTCTTTTCAGTTGCTAACATGCCTAAGTAACTTTTGTAACACTTTCCCAAAAGTGTTACAGATGTACTACTATGAACTGACTGTACATAGTAGCACATTCAGTTCTAAGCCTAAAACCCCAAGAAGTCAGGAACCTCTCTGTCACTTTCATGAGAGCCCTTTAAATCCCTTCATCCGCAGTTCAAACTCATTATTCTTTCAAGGTCACAGGGGAGCAGCCTAATTGTTTTAGTAAGACCCGAAACCAGAGCAATACAATAATTTGTTCACAAAGTGGTGGACCAAAGTCTCTAGTCCACCGTGGACTCGGAGAGAACTGGTCACACTCTGGCAATTTCCTTCAGACGATGTTGACGATGGTTTGTATCTTTACATCAAATATGTTCCCAGTGGTTTTGGCATTGATTTGAATGTCTGCAACAATAACTAAAACTTCAGCTTTTTCTTCATTGAGCTCAAAGGACAAAACTAAAATAGAATTAAAATTTCCTCAGTGGTTCTGAGGTGAATGTCCAGTCTCCTGATGACGCACCGATCCACTTTTTTCACTTCCTTTACCAAGATCAATGTCTGAAGTTTAGTATTGGCCGATACCGATCTGATACAGAAAAGCAGAGCTCTGACGTTGCTTAGAGCACAAAGTATAGAATTAGACTGAACAGATTTGTCCTTATGGACCTGGCAAATTGTCACTGATACCCAGCCTAGAAATCTTTTTCAATATTTTGAGCCATGCAGATATTAATATTGAATCGTTGCATCTCTATAACAAACTGTTACACATAAAGATTTTAAAAAGTGAGGGAGCTTAAATGTGGGACACCATAGTTTAGATTGTAACTTTCTGAGTTACAGTATTTACAGAGAATTTTATGTTCTGAGAAGAATAAATTAGGACAATTCAATGGAGCAGATTCCTTAGTGCGTCATAAAAATGTGTAGGATGCTTCTTAGTGTTACTAAAAAGAGTTAGTGTATTTTTGTATTCATGTTAGTGGGCTTGAAGTAATGTGACGTGTTTCATTGCAGCATTTTGTCAACACAAGACATCAAATGAAACAAGAAAATATAACAGTCCAACAAGTAATAACGTTTCCACTACAACTCCTCCAGCTTCTCCAGGTAAGACAAAAGAATGGCATCCAAGCAATAATGTTGATTGAATGTATGCAGACAGATTTTGCTGTTAGTCTCACTGTTTAACTTTGTGCATGTTTCTATTATTGTTTCTAATGAATGTCAATCTTATGTGAAAGAAAAATTTGTTCAGTAAAGCTTGCAGTGATGGGAGTATTGGTCTTCGGAAAGATTTTACATTTTCTCCGATTTACTGCCTCAAACCTCATTATGTAAAATTGACTAAGAGATCCAACATGTATGTACAATACAGATTGGAAACTGTATAACATTTCTCTGGTAGGACTAAAACTGAGCCTTATAGTTATAGGAGAATATATACTAGTCAAAAAAATAAAGGAAACACTCAAATAACACAATATAACTCCAAGTAAATCAAACTTCTGTGAAATCAAACTGTCCACTTAGGAAGCAACACTGATTGACAATCAATTTCACCTGCTGTTGTGCAAATGGAGCAGACAACAGGACAAAGTATTCAATGAGAATATTTCATTCATTCAGATCTAGGATGTGTTATTTGAGTGTTCCCTTTATTTTTTTGAGCAGTGCATTTTATGTTGCTGAATTCAATCTCATCCTATTGAATATTTCAGTTTATATTGCAATTTATTGACAGAAACAGACAAAGAGAGAACTGGAGGATCAGTTTGTTTTGATCACTCAGATTTAGCATGAATGCATTCTCAAGGTGCTTCAATATAGAAACTTGCAAAATTATCAATAAAAATAGATTTTCAAGATATTGCACAGTCGTACAGACAGTTTCATTTCGGCAGTTTTTATGTGCCACAGGCACAAAGCATCAGAGTCAAATGGCTCAGTTGCCTCATTGTGTAGATCAGTTCTCCACAGCCTTGCTAATGACCCAATTATCCCATTTAGGTGGTGCAGCAGAGGCACATCAAGAGGTTGCAGGATGGTGGCCCTTCAGGACCAGTTTTCTACAAATGGACATTTCTATATGTAGAAAAACACTGAGCTGAGCTGCCCAGTATAAAAGCATAAATAACAAAAAAGATGCAAAACAAATTCAGTTAATTTGGGCAGGAATCCTGCTTGTGGTGATAAGGAAAATAAAATAGCACCTTAGTTTAATCCAGGGGTGTCAACATGCAGTCCTCAAGGGCCGCTGTCCTGCAGTTTTTCAATGTGCCACAGGTACAAAACGCTGGAATGAAATTGCTTAATTACCTCCTCCTTGTTCTCCAGAGTCTTGCTAATGACCTATTATTCTATTCAGGCGTGGTGCAGCAGAGGCACATCTAAAAGTTGCAGGACACCGGCCCTCGAGGACTGGAGTTTGACACCCTTGGTTTAATCTATTAATCTCAGTGATGTTCCTACTATGATTAAAATAATGCTTCTTTTAAATTGAAAATACAACAAACCCAAAATACCAAAAATAATTGGAGGTCATTGTTTGTTTTTTTATATGTTCATATTTCATCCTTTTAATTATATGAAAGGAAAATTAAATTAATCAGAACAAACAGGGAACCCAACACAACCTGTCAGCTTTTTAAGTGATCCTAAACTACAAGGGAGTGATTTCAAGTCTTCCATCTGCACTCTGCTCTCCCAGCCTGTGGATGTTTCTGGGCCACGTTTTCCATGGTGCACAAACATTGCTAACGGTTAACTGGGCCTTTAATCTCATTTTTCTTCACCTTCTCCATTTTGGCAGGTCTCAAGTTGAAACTGAGAGCTTGTCAGTGTTTTGCAATGTGGCACAAACTGATTAAAAACACATTTCTGTTGATTCTACCTGTTTCAGGGACTAATGACAGATCCACAAACACAACACAAGGAGAAGGTAAATCCACAGGTCCTTCGGTTTCTTTAGATCATTCTTTGTGGTTCCAATTTCTTTTTACTCAATTATTTTTTGTTTTATTTATTTACTGCTGAAGTTTCTGAAGAATCTGGTTCAGGTGAACCTGGTAAGTCGAGCTATTTGTTTTGCACAGATGTAATCACAAAACTAACTTCAAAGTCAAAGTGCTAAAATGCAACAAAGTTCTTGATCATATCTGGGCCTACATTCTTTTCTCTGACACATTTCTGCAGATGCTTCACCAGAAATTGTGCTTATGACTGATCAATCAGGAACTGAAAACGGGGAAATTGTTGACCTACCCATCCTGATTGGTGCGGTTGTGGCGAGCGTTATCATTGGTGGAATCATTATCATTGGCGTTGTTGTCTGGCGCAGGCGCAGTAAAAAAGCATGGAACCAAGGTGAGTAAAGACACTAAACATTTAAGCCCCTTGTGCACTGCAGCGATGCACCCGGGTCGACCCAGAAAAAATGGGACGGGAGACACAAGAAGAAAACTGTTCTGCGGTCGCTGTGAGGATCACCTGGGTAGATCACCTGGGGAGCGTTAGCAAGAATTCGATTTACGTGACGTTTCCTGCTCAATGCAAAACGACCAGGGCAACAGCACCAATAGAACCGGGTCGAATGGAGCTGGGTGGGGACAGGCTGGGCCATCTGCAGTGCAAAAAGGGCTTCAGTCTTCTCTGTCCATGGTCCAAATGAATGTTCATGTTTTTGAAATCTCAAAATGTCTAAAACATCAGAATCTAAGTTTATTTACCAACATTGTGTGCACAAAAGAGGACTTTAGCCTCAGTTTCAAGCATTCAGATATTAATTATAAGCATTTATACTCAGAGGGGAAAAAAGGAGGAAAGAAACATTATGTACATGTGTATGCAACCAACTTTGCATCAGTGTTGGTTTTCATCTTTTATCCATGCCAGCCTTATAGACATTCATATGGCCACAGATTTAAACTGATGCTGCAAAACTGATGCAAAAAACTTTTCTGAAGGTTTTATGCATGAAGGCATATCTAAAATGATCTCAGGTTCAAAGGTCAATCAGGCCTAACAGATTCCACGCTGCCATTAGTTAGTAAACAACAGCAAAATCAAATAAAAACAATGAATTAAATTATTGTTGAACAGCCAAATGAGTGATGACTTTTGCTGTCGCCATTTTGTGGACTATAAATGCTGTTATGTAACTTGACAACAGTTGACTGCTGGTGTAGGGGGGGAAATGAAGTCATCTATTTCTCAGCATTTTGAATTGATGTGAAATTAACACAGAAAACGAAAGATCTTGCATCTACAATTTCAGTGCGTTTTAGCAAGATTTACAAACGCACCATTTTGTCCTGGTTAGCCTTTCCCCAGCAATCGCTGGTTTTTATTTCATTTCACAAATTATTTTCTCAATTTCAGTTGTCATCATTTTGTTAGTTTTAGTTAACTACACTAACGTTGTGTAGGACTTCCCAGATACTTGCTCATTTAAGTCCTTTAGTTTCCCCAAAGTCAAAGCAGAGGTTATGATCAAACTGTACAATGGGATCAATCAAAACAAGTATAACTTTCCTAGATTTGAGACAGTAATTCTGTTTTGTTTTAGGGTTTTTTTTGTTCTGCTAAAAGTGACCTTATTGTTTTTGACTCTCTTCCAGAGCTTACAAAAGAAGACCCACACTTGGACGGACCAAGCTCAGAGAAGGTCCCTATGTAAGTTGAAATGCTGTCGGCTCTCAGGCAAAAAGATCTTTTCTGTCCACGGTTTAGCAAAAACGTTACCGTGCTGCAGTAATTTCCTGTTAATGCAACCTACCTGGTGTGTGACTCAAAATTTGTGGTCACCTCAGAGGATTCTCGCAATCCTCTGAGGTTTTCTGAAGACAAACCACGTGTGTGTGTGTGTGTGTGTGTGTGTGTGCATGTGTGTGTGTGTGTGTGTGCATGTGTGTGTGTGTGTCAGGCCAATGTTCGAAGAAGACGTGCCATCTGTGCTGGAGCTGGAAATGGATGAACTGGACCAGTGGATGAAGAAAGACTGTAGGTTTCATCTATTTTTGTTCCAGTATAGTTATTATAGTTGTCAGAGCTTCCTCTCAAAAATAAATCACCACATTTACTCACCTAACTATTTCTCCATGTAAACCTGGACATTATGAAGGAAATGTTTATGGTGGGAAATATTTTTTTGTTTTATTTTTAGTACATGGTAAATAAATATCTTGACGCAACATTCTGGGGTTCTCTCTGGTAGCTCCATGTGATGAAATAGTTTGTCCAGCAGAGGTCAGTGTTGCTCTGTAAAAAGGATTAGGGCCACTGGGGGAAAAAAAAATAAAGCAGTTCAGTTAATTTTTTTTGGAACTAATCTAACTAAATGTTTCTACATCTTTGTCAATCTGTGAGAAAGTGATTGCGTTGCAGGCAAATGACAAACAGTGACTTGGTTTTGATCACTAAATCAAAGATATAAGCAAAAACATTTATGACATAAAAAAATATTTAAAATATTTTTAGCGGGAAACAGTTTTACTTATTTTATTTATTTATCCTAGAATTTATATATATACATATTTTTATAATGGTGTTTTATTTTGTGACACTTTTGTTAAGCTACTTTACATATTTCATAGAGTTTTATTTCTTTAATTCCGTTTTTATTTCAGTCTTGTTTTTATTTCATATACTTACGGGAGTGGGCGGGGTTTTCTCTGTGGGGCGGGGCTTCGAGCTTCAGCATCTGCATGTGGGTGTAATGTGAGAGAGGGACCACAAGGAGACACAGGTGTGTGTTTTCATAGATTATCTTTTTCATGTTACAACAGTTGTAAAAACAAAACAAAAAAAAGAAAAAAAAGAAAGAAAAACAACATTTTCATAAAAGTTGCCGACTGCAGCTTTAACTGAAAAAAACGGAAAGGATGCCTAATCCATTCAAAAGGAGAATGCCTAAACGTCTAAATTTACTTTATCTCTGAATGACAGAGGTAGAAAGCTTAACAAATGGTAAAAAAAAGAAATGTTTTTCTGAAAATGAACTGAAAAAGAATTAAAAAAGCAGTAAAACTGAACAGAACGCTAAAATACCCTAAAAGCTTGAGAAACTGTTGGTCTGACCTCCTGAAGGACAGAGCTGAAGGAATGGGCAATGATTTGACTTCCAATGTATTTACTATTCAAAATAATACAGAATATGAAAATATATATTATAACAATGCATTAATGGATATTTTCAAATTTTTTAGTCCTGATGGAAAAGTGGTTCATTTAGAAACAGCCACAGAGTGAAAAAGGATCAATGAATCGACAAGCTGAGGCCCCAGAAGCCCTAAATATTGACTATCAGGAGCGCTCTCCATGTCCCAGTGAATTAACAATATGCAGGTTCTGGCACAATGATCCCACGTTGCCACTGTAATGTGTTTGTTGTGCTGCACCAGCTGCTTTGGGCCTAGCTGTGACCAGTGAACTGTGGACACTTTCGTCACCTCGTTTGTCTGGGAACACAAACCCTCCTGACATCTGCTAGCGATTACAACAGGCATGCACACTTGGAAGTGTGGTGCAACCTAACCCTGGAACGGTGCTGCTTTACTGGAAGCGCTGGGAAGTGAGGTCAAGGTCCAGTAGGCTGACTGTTGACCAACCTCTTTTACATGCTGTTTTTTTTCCCAGGCTTTCACTTCCAAAGCTGACTAAAGGTTAGCCATCTCTTTGTACACATACGGGGTTATATAACGGATCTCAAAACAGAGGTATACGTGACGTTGTTGCTGCTGTTGCCGCTGTTGCACAATGCGATGCCACAGCAGCAGCTGTGCTCTGTTTGTCAAACCTTGGAAATTCCTCTCTCACTCAAGCAAAACTTCGACTGCGTGTTACGGCCAGTGCAGATAGAAAAAAAAACAAAAGCAGGAGTACGTCAATTTTTTAGATTAATCTCAGAAAAATTCTGGAAAAAAAATGAAATTTCTGAGAAATGTTTTTGACTTTTGAAATTGAGTTTTGAAAGTTTTTTTCTTTTCTAGAAAATTTCTGACTTTTTTTTTTAGCAAATTTTCAGCTTTTTAATCTTGGAAATGTCCTTATTTGTTCTCAAAAGTTTCTGCGCTTGATCTAAAAATTTCTGAGATTTTTGGTGGAAATTTGATCCTCTTCTTTTTCTATCTACAATGGCCCAAATATGCAGAACAAATGCAAAACAGAGCTTCACATTGGGGAGTAAAAGAAGAAAATCAACTGTGGCTGATCCTGCCTTAAGGTGCTTTTTTTCCCTCCCAAAGCAAGTTAAGCAATAGAATTTTCTTCAAAATAAGAAACACTTCAGTTCAACACTTACCTTACAAACAGACAATCCTAAAATCCCGAGGTAAACATCTCCGTTTGAGTATTTCAGAGTCAAACTGGTCGAGTTTCAACTTGTTCCCTCCACTCAATGGAAACCAGCAGCTGAAGCGAAAATGTGTTGAGCAGGAAGAAAACGAAGAATCTGTTCACTGCAAAACCAAAGCAATGCATAAGGAGGCCACAAAGTTTATTATTACACCTTGGTAGCTTGGTAGCATTTTTTAATGCTCATTTATTTCCTCCAAAAACTGGAAGCTGTCACAGCTTAATAGTGTCAGCTTCTGGCAGCTGACACTGGGGATGCCAGAACATGTTCGTAATATTGCCTGTTCGTAAATAATTATTCCTGAAATGACGACGTCATTGGTCATTAAGACTTGTACTATTTCCACTGACTTTTACTTGATGGAGTAAATGGCAGTTTTCACCCGTTGACACTACTAAGCTGCGTCAGCTTCCAGCAGCTACCGCCAGAAGCACCATTACTAGCTGCCACTGCCGCGGACTGACCTTCCCGTCTCTCCACCTAAGAGAAAGTTGTTCATCTGACAATATCCCAAAGTTCTATGATAATTATTTCTAAAATTCCATCAAACCGATGCATGGGAATGACCTGTAGTCAGAGGAAAGCTGTACTGGTCAAAAATTCAAGAATTTCGCTAGATACTCAAAATTACCATGGTTCACTTTAACCATTCCCAGATATTCAGTGACCAAATGACCTTTAATGTGAATTATCAGGAATTTATATGGATGCTGGTGTTTTTGTTGCTGATTTCAACAATTTTTAACCTTTCAGTCCAGGTCTCAGTCTTGCTCCTTGTGTTCCTCCATTACAGGTTAGAGGATGACACATCCCAAGCCGAGCTTCACTTCCATCTTTCATATTCCAACTCTGTCTCCGCTGTTTTTCCCCAATCCAGAGGTGCTTATTTCTTGTCAGGAGTGAACAGTGATATGCTGGACACAACGCAGCGAAGCGCCTGTCTCAAAGGAGCTGCACCTCAGCGCTCGGGTGGAGCAACACCTCCTGGTCGTCCCTCAGTGGAGACAAACTGCTACTGACGATGTCATTACTAACGCTTTTTTGAATGTGTTTCAATGCACATTTCATCTGATCTTTTACATATAAAACACAGAAGAAAAAAAAACTCAACCAAACGTGTCCTCAGTGATACTAGATTCACACAATTGGTCTGTGTGTGTTCAGCTCGGCGTGTAATGGGAAAATAATCCTCCCCAGCCCTTCCAGATGACTGCTCACTGCTCCCCCGGTGGCTTTTCCTCTTGCTCAAATGTTACATGACTCCCTCCAGCTGCAGGTTGTAATGACTGTGGGCACGCATGACGGAGAACATCTGTTTGTCATCGTTTGCAGAACAGCTCTGAATTTACACAGAGATCGTTTTTATTCTAGGTCTCTCGGTCTCGAAGCGACGAGACTCCGGCTTCCGAGGCTTTTGATAAATTATTGGCCACTTTGCAAAAGCGGCTGTTGATCAGATAAGAGATACCAGATGAATATCTTGACTGAGTTCCTCTGATCGCCTGATGCTTCTCACAGATTTTCTTCCCTGCCGGTTTTGCCTGTGAAAGTTGTCGGATGTGAACGAGTAAACACTGATGCAGATGTGAGTTCTTCCAGATTCAGACAGTGTCGGACGCGAATTTGCACTGTAAATATTTCAATGCCAAAATATGTTATTGTGACATTTCTGTAAATATACAACGTGTGGAGTTTTGTTTGGCTTGTGAAGCTCTTCACTTCCATGATTAAAGTGTCCCGATGAAAAGACGATGCTTGCTGTGCTGTCTTTCAATCAGAGTATTGGATGGATCTTTAATTATTTTCAAATTGGTGACATAAATCCCTCAAGCCTGAGTCTGGCTTTGGTTCCACATCATTTCGCTCGTCCTTTTAGCTCTTTGCCCTCTCAAGATGACCTTCAGTTTGCTGAAGCTCCACAGAAAAACTCTCCTACAATCCCATTGGATAGATTCCTCTGGCTCCATAATGAGCCAAACCTATGGACGGACGGAGGGATGGATGGATGGACACATGGATGAACAGACGGACGGATGGCAGCAACACCCATTTTTACTCTTTTCTTCCTCATTAAATGCTAACTCTAATATCCATATTTGGTCCTTTTTCAACATTTGGAGCCTTTCAAGCGATCCCAGTGTTGTTTCTAAACCTCGGGCCTCAGCGTGTGGTCCGGTCCAGTGTTGACAATCTACTACTGAGTCTGTCTGTTTTCCTCTCTGAGTCTGACCGTCTGATGGCCGTTTGTGCAAAGCTGATTACATTCACACCCGGGGAGGTTCTGAGGGCGCGGGAACAGACAATCCAAAGCAATGAATACAAATGAGAAACGAGGCTCTGGCTGCAAACACAGCGCAGCGAGGCCCGACTTACTGCTCACACAAACTGACCCCTGAATCGCTTTCAGTCTGATCCAATATTCTGCCATTTCATTTGGTGTTTATTGGCAAAAACTATCAAATTATGTTCTATCCTCAAGTTTTTAGTAACCCTAAAAATGAAGATTTTTTAAAAATGTTTTTGATAAAGAGCTGCTTTGTTTTTCCTCCAAACATTTGTTATTGCACCAAATCTGATTTGTAAAACTTGTCTCATTCTGGTTGCTGCTTGCAGAAAACAGAACATTTCACAGGAGAATCTAACAGTAGCCAAACTGGTTTACAAATAAACAAAACTACAGTTTCTCATTGAACCCCACTTCTAATTTTCATCAAACTTCCACCGCACCAGGTGAGAGAAGAAACATACGCAAGACGGAGAGAAATAAGACGTCTTTCTCCAGAGAATAGGTACAAGAAATCCTATTTTCTCTGGGAATTCTATTTTGCTCATGTTTGTTTCTTTTTTTGACTGAAGATGTTGCTACCAGTTTTGTTATCACTTTATACAATTGCCAGAGACACCACCATTCCCTGTTAGTTTGATTTTAGGAGCTACGATGTTAGACACAAACATGACACACCAGAGGATCTGGGGGTGTAGAAGACTTCACCTCGGTTCTGTTTTCAGCCTCTCCGGCTTTAGAGAGATGATTTCCCACAGGATTTGGACAACATCAGATAGATTTGTGTGTGTTTTAACACCTTGATGTCGTGTCCTGCGTTTGTATGATAACTGTGAGCAAAGCAGGAGAATAAGAATGGCATTGGTTTCCAGGAAAGTTGAGACTGTGTAAAATGCAAATTCAGGGAATGGGGAATGTTCCCCCTTTAGGTCTTATTTATCAAATCAGTTTCTAAATCCATCTGGAACAGGACGCAAATATCCTCCCTAATTTTAGGAGGACAACTGACTGATTTCCTCAGCGAACTACCACAAAATACCTGGTTTAAGAGCATTTGGGAACAAAGTGAGGACATCAACAGCCCTCCTTTGTTTCCAGGGTGTGCTTTTCATCTCACTGACTCCACGCTGGCCTCGGCTGCACACTTCCCAGGATCACATGCTCGCCGTTCGTGATATCTCAGGGTTTCAGACTCTCCCCTGAGGATCTGCGGGCAGGGCATGAAAATCACTGCAAGCCAAAACTAACCAATGCTGGCACTCTAGGTTTAATTTAAGCTGTACACTAATCCACAACTAAAAAAAAAGAAACAAAAGAATATAAGGAGGCTCAAAATGCTCAAAGGAGTTAAGCCTTTTTCAGCGTGCACGAGTTTATAAGTTTGAAAGCATCATGCAGTTTGCTCCCTTTCTGGGTTGTTTGTATATGTTTATTCACAATGTTCTGCCGGTCTTAATCTGTAATCTAAAAATAGGTGATACTGGATGTTTCAGTTTATTGTAGCATCCTTCAGGAAACTAAGGACTCGTTCAATAAAGTGAAACTGACAAACCTTGTCCAGTTTGACTCTCTGAGTGTCGGTCAGGATGCAGAACTGGATCTTATGATCATGCTGTCTTCTTTAGTGAAGAATAATTAAGTGTACAATGACTGTCTCTTCTTCAGGTGGCTTTCTATGTATCTGTGTGTGTGATCCTAGAACACAGTTAGGAAGAATCCCTAAATAAAACCAGGAAACTCTTACAGTCATTAATCCACCAATAAGCACGAAGAATTGACTAAATCTTAATATTCAAGTAAACTATACAGATCTACCATCATTGATTGGCTGGATTCATTTGCAGATTGGGAGCTGATAGTTACTCAACAGTTTTGTCGTTAATTACAGACGAGACACATTTGGTATGAGAAATATGCCTGGAAAGTAAATCTGCTAAAAACAATAAATGTACAAAGAAATGTCTCTAAAGAAGTGATTCTGTCATACAGAGACCAAAAGCACCAAACTAAATACTTTTATCATCCAGTTTTTGTTTGAAAGAGCAAAAAGAGATAAATAACAAATCATGCCAATGGGAATTATTGAATTTAGTTTGATAGGCAGATTTAACACATTCAAATGACGCACAACCTTTTATGAACTGTGTGGTGAGATGAGGTTGTGGTGGAGCCAGATGCACATTGTCTGAAAAAAAAAACACAATTATTAACCATCATCCTCTTTCTGCCTCCTGTCGTCTTCTCTGTCATTTTTGCCAGTAGGATGTTACTATGTGACTATATGGACAAACGTGAGTTTCTTCAAAATTGGGCCTTTTTCATTTTGTTTTTCTTGTAATTTAAATTTTCACAATTTTATGGCTAATGGAGCTAGTATGTTCATGTAGATCAGTGATCTAATCAAATGCAAGTGCTTAAATATAAAAATTCTTTACTTCTTATCTGGTTTCTTAAAGAATTTTTTGCCTCTCCTTTAAAGTCATTTATGCTTTTTATTTGACTTTTTAGTTCCTTTCCATTCCAGAACATCATGTTGATCTTTAGCAGCAGTCATTCTGCATCAAAGCAGGACATGTGAACCTGAACAAATCATTTCTGCGTCAATATAGTGGAGACTGAAAGAGATTGAGGTGGAGTTTTAAATGAGACTCTCCTCTTCTCTGCTGATGTTTGGTCAGCAGGCTGTCTCTGCAGCTGACAGGAAGACAACAACTTGTCAAATCTGCTCAGAAAACTGCAAACGGGCGACTCCCTTCCTCTGAGAGCATCTTTTTATCTTGCCAGCAGGTGGAGAAGCAGGGTGTCACCCCACCCTCTCTGTCTGTCAACTCTTCACCCTAAACCATCAGACCAGACATTAAATAGTTTTACAGTCAGCGCAACACCAAAGTGAAGCTTCTTCCCTTTAATTTTCACAATTTGTATTCAAAACTCTCTTGGTCTTTCAGTTTCTTCTTTTTGACACCAAAAACACAACTATTTACTGTTTGAATCTAACAAGCTGTCCACTATGGATGAACTATGGAACTGTAATGAATCTTGTCCAAAAGTTTACATTGAAAAACACATTTTTAAGTGAAAGTGAAGTTGAACAAGCAGAAAATGCCTCAGGACTACATGGAAATACTGACTGAACATTGTAAGTGGTTCAAACTTTTACACACTCATAAATGTAGCCAGATTAGACATGTTTTATAATTATTTGAAATACCTTGATGTCTTGAGGGAACTGGAGAGATTTGGTAGGGAGAGGATGTATGGATTTTCTTCTAAAACCTTTCACCTTCACAACCTTTAATACATAAAGAACTGAAACTATGACAAAATCTACATTTTATGTATAGTAAATACTAAAAATGCTCTGCTTTATTATATATTTGTTTTAAGATTCGTTCACTTTTTACTTTTATTTTATTTTCTTGTTTACATGCTTACTCCATTTTGAAAATATCAATAAACTGAATTCACTCTTTCTTATAATTTTCAAGATAATGTAGCAAATCTACATGACACTACAATCTGACTATGCTGCTAAGTGTGACTTACTTTCACCAACCAGCTTGGGAAATAATATCTAGGGAAAATAATTCCTAGATATACATGTCAGGATATATATACTTTGTATCTTTATATCTGTACTTTGCTGCCATTTTATATCCCCCGTATGCACCTTTATTTACATTTTTATTATGACAATCATTACTACTATTGTTATCATCATTAATTTATTCGTCTATGTATAATTTCTATGAGATTTTTTTACATCATATTTATTCTAGGTTTTGCTGGTTCCATGTATGAATTGTGATGCGTTAAACGTATAATAATAGCAATATAATCGTTTTTTGTTTTTATAAATATTACTACGTCACATTGCTGCGCAGTGAAGCAAACAAAACCGTGACGTCATCACTTCGCGACAACCACTCTTTCCTGTCGGTAGAAACGAGCAAAGCAGGCGCTTGTGGAGGAGCCTGGAAACGGCTGAAGAACACCAGAAACTGACGCGCAGTTTGGTCTCAGCAGTGTGCTTTATCCCTCGTAACGACCAGAGACCACCATAAGCTGAACTCTACAAGAACCGAACCAAGGGTTCGGGCAGACCAACCAGCATAAGCGAGCAGCTAACGTTAGCGGTGTTTTTGGCTCATCTAACCGGTCGTGCTAACGCGTTAGCCTCGGATAGTCAGGTGCAAGCCGACTGCTGGTGCTGCTACTGCTGCTGCTGCTGAAGGGAGGGAATTAAGCTTTGGCTTCCAGTGTTGAGCTTCCATGGATACATCGCCCTGGATCTACCCGGCCCGACGGAATTAGCGGAGGCTTCTGCTCTCTCCTTCTTCACATCCACCAGGTAAAACAGTCCAGTGCAAGATCACAACTGCTCCGTTCAGCAGTGAACAGAGGGGCCTAGCATCAACTAGCATTAGCTCGGTAGCTATCCGTTAGCATCGCCAACTTAACGCAGTATTTTGAAAGTGGTATTAAAGGACTCTGAAAGAACGTGAAAAGTCTTATTTTGGTTCAATTCTCTCGGTCTGACTTGAGTCTTTTTTTTCTGAACAAGGCTCACTAGCATCCCGAGCATGCTAACTGCGGGGAGTTAATTACAAGAGCGCATGAACTGGATATCTGGAGTTCTGCTCATATTTATTCAACTATCTTTATTTTTCCTAATGCACGGCGTTCACAGCGCTCCAGTCGAGTCACTTGATGTCGTTAAAGTACGATTGAAATCCTTAAAAATGTCAAAATGTAGACGCACTACGCAGAGAAACGCACAGGACTGGCTGCATGTGGTTAACCCGGTTAACATGGGCTGGATTGTAGCCCATGTGTTCTCGATACCTTATAAATATAAAGATCTGTTTTATTTTATTTTTAACGATGATAAATATCTAAATCGCTGTTATGTCTGCAGCCGATAAAAAACCCCTCTTCCCTCTGATGACTACTTGTAGATGTCAGGAAAAGTAAAGTTACAAAGTGTTTAAGTAGCCTGTGCTTGAGCTCTTCAAACAACACTCCAGACTTAGTTTCAAGTGACGCATCACTGAAAAAGGCTTTGAAACTATAATGTTTACATGTGATGTTATATAAGAGTAATGTTGTCAGAAGTTTGTAGAAGAAATATTATGTATTTATTACAGGGCATCAAATGCTCAGCGTCCAAGTAATGCACTTTGGGACTTTGTAATATTGTAAAACTTGTTTTTTAAATCTGCATATCAAGTTCATTTTTATATCTTGGGTAGGATAGATGCGATAGATCTTTGTCAAATTATTTGCTCACATTGCAAATAATGTAACAGATGTCTGAATAAAGATGTCTGCAAAAATATTCAAAACAAATAAGTTGATTTAGAAGAGCATTAAGTGACCTTGAAATTCACACCAAGAACATTTTTATTAGTCTAAAACTAAGCAGAATATGTGAGTTGATTTTTGTACCTCCCCGTAGTCTAAAACCTCTGCAAAAGTTGCACAGAAATTTTCTGCATTTCAAAACATTTTGTTGATGTCAGCTTGGAATGTCCAACAAATGATCTTTGATGAATGTTCCTCCTTTCTCGGGCTTAATTATCTTGTAGTAAGTCTTGTTTGTAGCCACACGATCATGGTCTTTACTGTTTAAAATGATATTATTTTACAATTTAAAATGGTGACAGCCAATACTCAGCAGTCAAACATGTTTGCTCTTTAGAAATCAAGTTGTTGGGCGTCGCATGCTATTTTAGCTCTGCAGTGTTTGATATTTCTTTTGAATGAATAGGAATGTATTTTGTCCTTTTGGCAGACTGTGTGTAACAAAGTGCTGAAATATTCAAGTGAAAATGGAGCCATGGCTGGGTTCTTTGTAATATGAATGAAAGGCTGTTAACATGTGACTGTAGAAAAACAACACACCATGTGGTTTCAGAGTATCATTCATTATTTCAGATTTAGTTTTGACAGATGTTCTGTAGAACGTTTTGAACCTGGTGCATTCTCACTCTCTCTTTTCAGTCTCTCTCTTTTTTTCTCTCTCTCTTCCACTCTCCCTCTGACTATCATAAGGTGAAAGCAGTAAGTTAAAGTGATGGAGGTGTAACCAGCTGAAGCTTATATTTCCTGTTGTGCATCATCGTTTTCAGAAATGATGTCTCTCGACTTGGATGATTTTAAGCTTGATACGAAGAAGTACTTTGGTTTTTGTCAATGATACGACTTTCCGTACAGAGAACTGTAATGGTAGCAGTTCAGATAATTAGTACTAGGGATGAACTAATTTGTTGTCCAGAGACGGGAATCAGACAATTTTTTTCCCAATCGGCTCTGATTGGCTGATCAAATACAGTTTTTTGTTTTTTTGTTTTTTAAGGCAAACTCATTAAAGATCCTAGATTATAAGAAGAATAGATGCAAATAAAAACAAATAAAGCTTATTAGCCTGAGCCGACACTATTTTTATTGTTCTTTGACTCATGACACAAACACCTTCATTAATCACCTGGTTTGGTCATAAAATCGATTTCTATCCTACTGTGATGGATATTTCAGAACAAATGTTTTTTTGTGTGATTTGGGATTGATGGCTACAGATTTGTTAGTGTTTTTTAAAGGGCCAGTAGTATATATTTTTTGTCATTTTATAACACAGTCAAATAACTGTTACCTTCACTTCTCATAAAAATGCTATATCAAACACAACTTAAAAGAAATTTGATTTCGTAATTTAATTGGTTTCTATGTTTAAAACTTCTGCTCTTTCTGAAACCTCAGGAAATTATCACAACCCGGCTCCTCCATTAACCCTTTAACAACGTATTTACCAGCGTTGCTATGAGAAGTAGCGCCTATAATGAGCTCAGCAGATGTGCATTTAGACCAGGTGTTTGCTAATTACTGCTGGCTAGTCTGAAGGAACTGAGTGGGAGAGTCATGGGAGAGGACTGCTATGCCTTTGAGGTGGAGCTTGATCCTACAGATGTGGCTGTTTAGCTTTGCCATGGGAGATTAAATGATTTCTCAAACATGCATGAAAGAATCAAATCAACACTCCATATACGACAATGTTTTTGATGAGGAAATAACGTTATAATTTGATGGAAAACAAAAAAGTACATTTTCCGTAACACTGCCCCTTTAAATCCATTCTGTGACAAACAGCATCAAATGAAAAGATAAAAAACTTGGATTTGGTGCTCTCATGTTACCCACTGGGACACTGTGGTTGCTTTGTGATATTGTGAGATGACTGCTTTTAAGAAATAGACAAGCTAGAAATAACCTCATCGGTTTGTGTCCACAAGAACCGCTCGCCATCAGAATATATGTATTCTCGTGAAAGAGTCGCAGAACTCCTTGATCAAAACGTGAAACGTTTTCTAGAAAGCAACCCTCATGTTTCCCCCGTCGTTCTGGCTCGTGGCACTGTGGCTTGGTGATGATTTTGAAAATGTAAAGTGCGAAGATAGGACAATGGTGTCAGGAAAAGAATGGCATATTTTCGGTCCACATGGAGCGTGAGGATGATGACATGAGATTTCCTGGCTGATAGTTGTGGCGAGGCCTTGAGAAGTGAGAGACCAGGGCTATCTCAAGAGTTTGTTTGCTCAAAGCCTTACATTCCCACACTCCTGACTTGCGCTGTGTTACCCACCCCAGGGCTTTCCTAAGCCCTTTCTCATGTGGACAGTGGGTTTCCTGCTGTTTGAAGACTGTGTTGATAAATTGTGACGTCAGCTGGCGGCGCTCACGTGACATTTCTTCAAATTTATCCTTAAAATAGAGAACAGTTCCTAATTGCAGCAACGTGGAGCCTCGTGATACTGAATATTTATTTTCCCTATGTAACGTAGTCATTGATAGGATTATTCTGCTGTTTTTAAACTAGGGAATAGGGATGCAAGTTACCAATTAATGAGTTAAAGTTAGTTGACTTTATAGATTGTTGATGGATTAATTGATAAGTGGCCATTTTCTTAAAAACTTGAGTTTTCTCTTGTATTAACAAGGCTGACGGTCTTTCTATCACAAAATGTTTTAGAATATAATGAAGTAAATAAAATAAAAATAGCATTAATTTGTGTGAGTTGTGTTAAATACTGAATAAAATTAAAATGATGGTTTTATCATATGATTAACCTTCCTGTGATTAATACATCTCATAGAGTCCATTTGGCTCCACAAGCTTTTTCCCTGTGCGCAGTCTGGTGGGTCACAGCGTGCGCTTTTACCAGCTGACAATCTGACGGGACACTTTTCCCTTCGCCCGTCTTCCCTCCTTCCACTGTCTAACCATGACAAAATCTGCTCAAGGCCTCATACAGCTTTGGACCGGCCCGGCAGGATGAGTTAAATCCACTGGGCTGCCAGAGATGGGCGACAAGCAGAATTCACGATTTTATGTCAACGCTGTACATAATTCTGTCCTCAAAGATAAATTATTCTCATTACTCGCTCAAAGCGCAAATGCAAGACTACAAGTTATTCCTGCGGTTCACATGGAGCTGTGCAAGCAGAGCTAATGCGGTTCATTTTAAACTCTCACTGTGATATCGATTTTATGTACAAATCCTTACAGGTCAGCCTGTGTCCAGTTTGAGTGAAAGGAGGCGTGTGCGATCCGCACTGAGGGAAACTTAGTAAAGCAGCGGCATCGCGCGAAGCAAAGCGCAGTGGCACTGAACTAAGTGAATTAAAATTGTATGTAGGAATACAGACGTTCCAGGACTAGAAATTGCAAGTCTCTGTAGAATCGATTTTATTTTTATGTCTCTTCACCAGAGCATCAATAAATATCAGTTGATTCAAAAATATGACTAAATATGGTTACTGTGTACAGTCTAGTGATTCAAATGATACTGTTTAAAAGTAAAAATGAAAATTATCATCAAGAGCAGTATTTGTGTTTGTGGAGCTGTGACTGCTCTGCCATGCAGTCACAGTCATACAGCTACCTATGACTGCATGGATTTAATGATTATTATTATTATTAATAACAACAACAACAACAATAATAATAATAACGCATTTTATTTGTCAGTGCCTTCCAAAACACCCAAGGACACTTGACAACATTAAAAACACAAAAAACGCATGAAGACACAAAAACTACAAAATATCATAATCCCTCTCAATATTATAATATTACCACAAAAACTTGCAATGAAGTTCTAAATCTTTATTGCCCCATATCTTACTGGATAAAACACTATCGGTATTTTGTTCATGTAGGAAATCAGAAAACTGTTCTCAAACCCGATTGGCTGGGAAATGGGTTATGTTGTATTCCCACGATTGTTTCTAATGTAAATATAAAAAAATGCTTCTGAAAATATTGAGGCAAGAAAAAGATTAATTGCAAACACTTTTGGTTTGAAGCTACAGCGACGAGGTGAAGCTAACAGAAAGAAACAGAAAGACATAGTTTGCTGTAAATGCTTTCGAGGTGCCGGTCGCTTAGCGATAACTAAGGCACTGACGCCACATACAAGCTCAGCAGTTTGAAAATGAAAGACGGACTGCTGCTGGTGGTGGGGTTTGTTTTATGAATTCTTCCATTGAACAAAAGCAAAGCAGTGGAGTCTGAAATGGAGAGGAGGAGCTGGAAACTAGTCCCAGACAGCAGAAGCAAAGTCCCATCTGTTTTAGTGGTGTAATTCAACAAGGAACCGCTCTGATAACCATCAAAGAAAGAGACGGTGTTGGGATTTAACTGGCTTGGCTTTAGTATTGTATACTAAAGCCACCTCAAAAGGTGGAGGAGGGAGGGAGGCGAGAGACTGAGAGCGAGAAAAAAACAAATGAAAGGGCTTTTTTTCTCTCTCTGGAGATCCAGCAGGGATCTCCCGTCTCCAGAAACTCCCTTAGAGGGTGTAAGTGATCAGAACCATCCAGCTGGTTCAGGGCGACACAGCTTTACTGCCGTAAAGGTCAGGCTGCAGTTGGTTCTCACTCCAGGAGGCTCTTCCTCCTGGAGTTGGTTGGGATCAAGCCTCTTAGATAATCACCTGCTACAGTAAATAGAAACACAGAGGAGGGATACAGGAATAAGTTCTAAGCTGTAGGTAATGCTATTAGATATTTGTTGTTATTGTTACCAGGTTTTGGACTCTGTAAAGTCTTCATCCGAACCAGCTTACCAGATGTATTTCTCACCGTTATTTTACATTTCTCTGCCTTTTTGAATCCCATCTGGATCACTTGGTTTTTCTCTGTTCACTGCAAAAGCACAAAAAATCTTACCAAGTATTTGGCAAGATTTTCAACTGCAAATATCAGCACTAAGATTTTAAGTGCAAATATCTTAGTAGACTTGAAATAGGATAAAAGTAACTCTGTAAGAAACTTTACAGAAAGCTATATGAGCTTGTAAATAATTCCTTAATATTGTCAAAGCACGAGTTCCATTGGCAGAAGATTTAATTTAGAAAATGTTGCAAGTGAAATAATCTGCCAGTGAATTTGAACATTTTTGAAAAAATCTACATGTAGAAATTATTGACTTGAAGGGGCAGTATTATGTGTTTTCAAGGCGCACAGTATTATTTTATAGCTTAAATAACTGTTGACTTCAGTTCTATTTATAAAATATGAGCTAAAAGACATTTTACTTCATACTTTAATGCCTTGAAATTGGGTCTCTGTCTACTTAAACACTCCTACTCTTTTTGAAACTCCGCCTTCTGAACTTCATCACAACACGGCTTTTCTATTAACCCTTTAACAACATGTTTACCAGCATTTCACTGAGAAGTGGTATAATCAGCTCAGCAGATGCTGAGCTTAAGTGTTTGCTAATTGCTTCTGGCTAGTCTGAAGGAGCTGAGTAGGGGAGTCACACTCTGTGAGGCAGCAGAAACTTTGATACAGAAGCTCTTAGTTTAGGTGCTTGTCAAAGGTGGAGGTAGTTGCCCCCAGACGACTGGCACAGCTGAATGGTTGCTACAGGAGATTCAGTTATTTCTCAAACATGTAGGAAAGAATCAAGGCAACACTCCAGGTATGTTGTTTACGAAGGAATAACATTAGATCAAAAAAGTCGATTTTACATCACACTTCGTCTTTAAAACTAGCTTCGATATCTTGCTGAAAAGTTTTTCATAAGTTTTGTCGTTTCTCAAGTCTACACGAGAAACTAGAACAAAAATTCTCTGTAAGACCTTGTGTTTTTGAAGTGTTGTGTCTCTCTAATATATTAAACCGGATGTTTGAGATGCAGCAGCAATTTGGTCTGCTGTGACGTTAATGACCCTCTGCTCTGCATCTGTGACATCTATGAAATATGTTAATAATTCAGTGCTGGGCATGTATCTTAAGATGTTTTGCAAACAGAGAGGAATCTCCCCGGTTCTGATGTGAGCTGTGTTGTAAACGTGGGGTGACGGTGCAGCGATGACGGGGCGCTGACAGTTGGGGACACAGCAAGTCAGACGCAATGCTAGAGAATCATTTCCTCACACTTTGCTGTCGGGTGCAAACCGGGGTTAAAATATGATGGAATGAACGGAGACACAAGTTACTCTCTCTCTCCCTGTTTGGTTTCCTCGTCCCACAAGGGGTACCACCAGGAGTCTAAAGTACAGTCAGTCACTGCAGCTGGAGCACACAAACATAATTGTGAATTCTTGTTTTCCCCTAAACTAAAAGTGAGTTTTGTTTCAAATTGGACGATTTTCTTTTCTCCTATTCTTCCATCTTTAATAGTAGACACCTTCTGTACAGCTGAAAATTGTCTATGTATGAGATCAGTGTGAAAAAACGTTGACAGTTTTAATAAGCAAAATTTCTTGGGAATAAAATATAACTTTCTTTTAACCCTACATGTCAATTTTCAGTTCACTTTATTTCTACGAACACTGTTTCTTGGGACACTTTACAAAAAAGAGTATTTTAGTATTCAAAGAAAACGTTTTTATGAGGGTGGAATCACCAACATGCAGCTTTCAATCCTGCACTTAGCGATAGCATGCAGCTAATGGATTGGGCTCATCAGGATTTATGGATAGATGTAGCTTAGTATCAGTAAAATAATGGGGTAAATGTGTCCTGTGCTGTCTGATATTTTTTTCCAGGTGGAGTACACAGCAAAGAGAATTGGTCCGAGCACGGAGCTCTGTAGTACTCCACAAGTGAATCTGCAGAGTGGATAAGATTTATCATTCAGGTAAACCAGCACAACCAAAATCTATAAATAAAACCAAAATAAAAGAACACACACAACCGAAAACATAAATAAAATCCACGATGTCTCTGTAAACAAAATGACCCTTCAAAAAATAGTAACCATCAGAAGAGAAGTTATTGAGCTGATTTTAATTTATCATATGCTTATTGCTTATAAAACACTTAAAATGGGAGCAGTAATGAAAGGAATAACTTGACAGGGTCCACGTTATTGCAAGTCAAGAAAGAAAAAACTTTTGACCTTTTTGTTGTTTTTAGTTTGATAATTTATTTCTTCTAAGCAAAGAGGCCAAACATCTCTGCAGAACTCTGTCGTCATGACATTCTTCCCCCTCTCCAGTGTTCATTGTTGGTATTTCTTATTAAAAGCATGGAAATGAAAAGATAAAAAGTAAATGATTTTAATAACACATGTAGCCAGTGAGTTTGGAAACATGCTGTGTCTGCATGTTTACTTACATTTTGTAGAAAAGGAGGAAAAAACAAGAAGAACTGTTGGCGGTTTCAGCAGATTTTCCCTGGCTCTGTTTCTCCTGTGTGACACAAACAGTCTTAAAATGTACAATTCAAAGTTATGTAGATTAGTTCTGTGGCCCAAATTTTCCTCCGCGTCGATGAATTATTTACCGTCTCTCTAAATTCAAGCAGGCACGTGGCAAGTCAGCTCTGGTCTAAAATACATCATGTTTAATTTCATCTTGAGTTTAATCGGAAAATCTTTTCATCGTGTGAAAAACCCAGAGAAACCGGTGTGCTTTGAACTAAACTTTGATTAAAATTTAAGCTTTTTGAACGTTTTAGTTTTATTTAAGCTACTTTACATTGGCCATTTATTTAAAGATGGATAAGGGACATAAGAGGAGGTGAAAGGTTTGAATTATTAATGTTGGTGTGGAACAACAAGGAGAATGTTGGGTTGGTTGTGGCAGGATATCCTCAGACTTGACCTGCAGGCAGCTGGCAGCCTGTTAAAGTGGCTTTTAAGTCTATTATAGAGGATAATCCTTTCAGTGAGTTTCAGTGAGCAGACAGAGAGGATAAACACTCCCTGATTTCACTGGTTCCACTGTTGTTGTGTTCCGTCCTTCAATAGTTGTCCCATTTTTGTTGCTTTCATAAACAGATAATTGATTACCTTTGGTCACCCTGAGCCCTAGATTGTAATCTCATATTATCAATGCCACAAATATTCTGTATCACACTGCATTTGCTACTGGAAGTGCAGAAAAACATTGATTTTATGGAGATTCGCAGTTCCTACTCATAGGAATCCTGAATCAATTTGAAATGCTCAAAAACTGATTTTGAAACGTGTTTAAGTTGTACTTCTTTGGCACCCTTATTTGCGAGTGCACTGCACATTGCATTATGCGTTCACTCGGCCACCATATGTATTTTGACCACTTTTTTGATATTTTTTTAATTTAAGAAAAGTTAGTAACCAAGCTAACTCAATACTGATAAATGAAGTTACAGAATTAAAGGCACAAATCCTTTTTTTAATTTAAACTGATGGACTTCGATACCTTACAAAATTGTTTAAAATTAATATTGTATTGATTGCCCTGGGTTTCTACTACAATGTTCCTATTGCACGTAACTTTGTTGATATTCTTCTCATGTTGATAAAACACAATTTTGCAACTGTGGTGTTTCCATTAAGAAATGCAATTACAAATTCACACGTGAATTGCAATGAGTCGTTAAAAAACATGTGCTGTGATCCTGCTACCGCTTTCTACCGTATTCTTCGTCTGTTCCACCGGCAGTCACATCCAGATGCTGATTGTGACACATGATGCGAGAAAAGTGTTTTCATTTTAGTTTTACGAAATACACAAATTGTGTAAAACCACCCCTTCCTAGTACAAAATCCTTTTTAGCTAAAAACTAGTTAAAAAAAAATAGAATTATTGCATTTGCATTATTTTTTATTTGTTTTTTTTAAATTAATGCATTTGCACTAAGAAAACTTGTTTGTAAGTTCAGTTTACACAATTTTTATTATCAATGGAAATTAATCACATAATTTAAACAGGACAACAAGCGGAATTGAAAATTGTTTCTGAATTGTGATCCAAAAAATCAGAATTGAATTATTAGATGCTGAAATATTTGCATCTCTATTTGCTGTTCTTGTCATGAAGTTACCTCAGTTGTCTTTGAGGTAACCTCAGTTGACTGACAGAGATAACCTACATCAGTAATATTATTAACAAGTTGGCTTGCATTTGTTCCCCCAACTTAATTTCAGTTTGACATCAAAACACCTCCTGTACTTTCACTTCCCTTAAAGTGGTCAAACATCATCTTCTTTCTTAAGTCGAGCCTGAAACCAGTAGAAAATATTTCAACAAGCAGGCCAACAAATTTTACAGAAATGTCTCATGGTTTGGCAAACTTTAATAAAAATATTGCTTCATCCTCCAAAAAACAGTACGACATTGCCAAAGTTTTCTTATTTTTATCAGTTGGAAGGGTTTAAATAATGTTATTAACATACATTAACACTTATTTATTGTTTTGATTTTACTAAATTCACTAATTTATTGTAACTGCCAAGAAACCTAGCATTGGTTTTCAGATGCATACGCCCAGAATTTTAAACCCTTTCCTCATTCTGCCCTCGAGAACAAGCTGAAACCAACTGATTAAAGGACAGGGCTAGCAGTTAGCCGCCTGGCAGACAATGCTGCTCACTGTAGAGTCAGAAGTACACCACCCCGATAAAGAGTGCTGGGTGGAGCACCTTTGGTTTCATGTCACAAAACTGCCACATTTATCTCTCCTAAAAGAGAAGTAGCCAGCTGGCCAGCAGTGTGCAACACTCTGTTCTCATAAATGATTCACCAGATTTACATGTTTTAGCTCAGTCTTGTATCCATTGTTTTACTTTTATTTCACTTGTTTTTTATTTATTTAATGCCATCTATATTATAAACAAGACAAAATAGTTCTTGAGTTTATCACATTCAGCAGCTGAAAGTCAGATCCATAAAATAAAGTACATTACATTTTCAGTTTGGTATTTGTTTTTGAGTCCCCCCCACCCAAAAAAAGCTTCAGACTTTTACTTTTTTAAAATTTTTATTTTCTCTAGTTATTGTTTTATAATAAAACAAAGCTGCAGACTGCACTGGCTTTATTCCTCACGGACTCATGTAATGATCAGGGATGTCCAATATGAAAATTTGGGGCGATATTAATGATATTGTCATGGCCAATATCTTATATTTACTGATATTGCACATATTTTCCTACTCTTTTGACACCATAAAATTACGACCAGACAGTCCTGTGTCCCCACCACCGTTACATGACCAAACAAATACCACACGATGAAGCACACATCCCGTAGAGCTTAACAAACTTGTTGTTGAAAATACCGCCCCCTAAACAACAGATGAGGATAAGCCCCTGTTGCTATAAACCTGGGAATTATAACACTTCAGGATTTATTGAGGGGATTAAAAGAGACTCAGAGTCAGAAATGCTTGCAACTCTACTGTAAGTTTGACTCTGAAGTCAGCTGCTGATTGCATTGAAGAGATTGGTAAATGAAATTCTCATCAAAGTGCACAGCTCTTTGGAGTCCTCTGGACTTGGTAAAGCAATGCACAAGTACACGAGATTTACCATTTATTTCAGCTTTTGCTGGTTTACTGTCTGAGGAAATTGTTGAGAAACGTTTCCAAGTTTTTAACAACATTCAGATGATTTTTCTTTATAGATCCAAAAAAACGGATATGGATGTCACAATAACAAAGTCTGCTGGACATTATTGTGAGAAACAATATTGTTATTTTGAGACAGTTTGGACTTAATAATACTGTTATTATAACCTGGTTCCCCCAGAAAAACTGCTTAACCCGTTTGTAGGGATTCTAGGGCAGTCTAAAAACAACTCACCGTGTTTTTGTGTTTAAAATATGTTTAAAAATCTTTTATATGATACAACATTTTTTTAACTTTAGTAATGGAACTGTAAAGCATTTTAAATATTCAAATTCAAATTAAAATGCATTATGAAGTCTCCTTAACCAAAATTGCATTTCAAAAAATAATTATCATCCAGCTTAGACAGGTGAAAACAGGCAAAAGGTAGTTCACTCTTTGTCCTGGGTATCAAATGTTTGCATTGCTTCTCAAAATGCCAACTTTTCAACAATATTTATTGACTGTTGTCCAAATGGAAATTAGCGCACTCATTTCGTTCACTGTGAGATTAATTCTCAAAATAAATAAGGTTAATTCTCTCGGTGAACAACAGGCTTAGTTATACATTTTTTAAGAAATTAATAATTGTCCTTCATGCAACTTTCATCGGTTTTCAGACAGATAAATTATCACTGTGACTAAGTTGAGAAGAACAGACATGTTTCATGGCTGCCAGCAGTTGCCCATTGTTCACTTCCTATCTATGATTCAGAGGAAGAGTTGACACATGTGTGACGGTGACTCACCGCTACATGCTGCTGCAGGTGTTGTATGGTGATCCTCATTTAATACTTTTACAGACAAAAGAAGAAGTATCAGTGTTTTCTCTGCCATCTCGGAAGAGATCGTGAAGTTCCATCTTGCTGCTCTCCTCTTTGCTTTCTTCCCCCTTAATGCCATAACATTTAACGTGTTAACCTGCTGTTTTTCTATGACCCAACCCTGGATAAGATAATAATTAATCCAAGTTAGAAGATGGTTTCGTTGAGCCCAAAGACTGCTTGACGTAAGTAATTATTTGTTGGGCTGCCAAGTGATTCAAATTCTTAATCTGATTAATCTCAATGTAGCAGTGAATTCAGCATGATTAATCTTAAACTGCATTTTGCTAAAATGAATGACTTCAGTAAATAAATGAGTTACAAGTCTTTTTAGTTAGAAGACAAAATCAGTTCTCAGTAATTATTATTTGAAATAAAAACAAAAATTAAATCATACCACTTTATAACTCTTCTGGTACTTGCACCATTTATTTAAAAAATG